CTACCCCGGTCACCGGGGCGAGTGGAACCGGCGAGAGATGTCACGCGGTGTTCCACAGGGTTCGGTTCTGGGGCCGCTCCTGTGGAACATCGGCTATGACTGGGTGCTGCGCACCGACCTCCCGAACGGCGTTAGCACAATATGCTACGCCGACGACACGCTGGTGCTAGCGCACGGGAGGTCGCACCAGGCGGCGGCCGACTTAATGGCGACAGCGGTTGCGACAGTCGTTGAAAGAATCCGGCAGTTGGGACTCGAGGTGGCGCTCCACAAGTCCGAGGCCATGTGTTTTCATGGCCGCGGGAACGCGCCACCTCCGGGTGGGTCCCAAATAACGGCGGGAGGGGTTACCATCGGCGTCGAGACGGCGATGAAGTACCTAGGACTCGTCCTCGACAGTCGGTGGAACTTCATAGAGCATTTCCGACGTTTGGCTCCAAAGTTGGAGAGGACGGGGGCTGCGTTCAAACGCATCCTCCCCAACCTCGGGGGGCCAAACGCCTCCTGCCGGAGGTTATACGCCGGGGTCGTGCGGTCCATGGCCCTCTACGGCGCCCCTGTTTGGGCGCCGAACTTGTTGCGGCGTCTTGCTCGGACGCTGCTCAAGTCACAGAGGGTCATGGCGATCCGAATGATCCGCGGATACCGCACGATCGCTGGGGAGTCGGCGAACCTCCTTGCCGGATTACCGCCGTGGGATCTGGAGGCGAAGGTGCTCGCGCGCGTGTATAACATGCGCGCGGAGGCACGTCGCCGGGGCGAAACTCCGCTGCCGCGCCAGATAAGTGCGTGGCGGGATGAGCTCCGGCGCGATCTCATGGCGGAATGGCAGCAACGACTGTCGCAACCGAGGGCTGGGCTCGCTGCCATTGCAGCGGTAAGTCCCCTCTTTGAGGAGTGGCTTGAGAGACGCTACGGCGTCCTCACCTACCGCCTGACGCAGGTCCTCACCGGACATGGAAGTTTCGGGAGGTACCTGTGTCTGATGGGGCGGGAGGAAACGCCCGGGTGTCATCACTGCGAGGACCGCCCTGAGGACACGGTGGAACACACCGTAGCGGAATGCCCTGCGTGGGCTGAGCACCGCCGTGCCCTCAGGGAAGTGATCGGCGATGGCGACCTCTCGCGTCCGGGCCTAGTGCAGGCCATGATGCGGAGCGAGGGGGACTGGGATGCCGTCTCCTCCTTTTGCGAAGCAGTCATGCTAGCTAAGGAGGAGGCGGGACGCGTGAGGCAGCGAAGCGCTGCCTCCTCGCGACCCAGCCATCGCGAAGGACACACCGGGCGTCGGGGATCGCGGGACGATCTCCGGCCACCGTAAGCGCGGGCCTGCGGACGGCGAGCATGGGTGGCTCCCCGTCCGACCAGAAACAGACCCGAGCGTACGGCGCGTCGCGTTCCGCGCGCGCCTCAAAGAGCCATCAGACCACCACAGATGGGGCCCAATAGGGCCGATGCCGATTCGGAGTCGCGGAGAACCTAACGGGTAACCGGGGCTCCGGCTCGACGTGCAGGAGAAGGAACGGGGTGGTTTTTAGTCAGTAAGAGTCTGACCCTCCCTTCCGCCTCACTCAGGCGGGAGCAGTCATTCGATGATTTTCCCCCCTTAAAAAAAAAAAAAAAAAAAAAAAAAATACAGTTGATGCCTCAATTTAATTTCAACGCGTACTAACATTGTTTAAAGTAATAAGTAAAATTGATATTCTTAATGATATGAAGAACATTGCTAAATGCGAAATCTCTTTTGGATTAGTTAGAACTTAGAACTAAGGAACTAGATTACCATAAATCTGAATGTAGACGATATTAATTAATATGTTATGTTTTCGGAACATACTCGTCTAATCAATCATGCAGAGGAAGTTAGTAGATATTCCTAAGTACCCACATAATCGCTGTAATGACTGAACATCCTCACGCATTACCTTTAGAATTCACGTTCAAGTTCCAATCAAATTATTGGCCACTGAAGCGTAGTGTTCGTGTGGTCTTCACCTTTAGGTAAAGGTTATGAACGATTACACCAGTAATGTTAATATGTAACTATGTAGTCGGTAATAGAATTCAATTTGTTTATTACATTCCCAAGTATGAAGTACAGTCGATTGGTTGCTATTACGGATTCTTGATCTGTATTTCTCTGCTCATTAAAACGTACAGCAATAAACGATTTTCGATTCCTTTCGAATTTACTTTGAACGTTATACAATTAACCAAATGTCTGTATTCGAAAGACATTTCGTCCACAAAATCTGCATACCTTTTCGGGAACATATTTTTCGTATTCTCATTCTAGTTTGTTGATTTTTGGATATCGACGGCCCTTTACTAAGCGTTATCGTAGTTAATGTTACCAACAAGTCAGTTACAGGCACAACACAACACTCATCACATTGCTATTGTTCTGAATAACAATAAACCAGTAATTAAAAGTTCACATAAATCTAACTAGCACACAACTGATCACACATGATCGGCTGGGGCCGGAGAAAGTGCGCCAGTCCCAGTAGTCTGTGGATGTTGCGCAAACGCATGGTTATGACAATGTCGCGGCCCAAGCCATGAGCGGTCAAGTTCAATCCTCCTAGTTACGTGGCTCTATGAGATTTTGTGTAAATATTGACCGTAGGCAGATACAGACAGCAATGTTTAAGAAATCAATGTTTAGTTTAGCAAGTGATTAAATGAAAATAGATGAAGCTTCATCTTCACCTTCAAGCCTTATTGGTTTTTTAAAGGGGGGCAACGTATCTGGGACTCCCCCCTGCGGGTATCGATGGGCGACGCCGATCACTTACAATCAGGTGATCAATATGCTTGTTGGTATCTTATTCCATAAAAAAATTAACAGCAATGTTATACGCACGTATTTTCATAATCTCAACATCGTGATATAGCCGCAACACAGAACAAATTGCTTGCTTATTCTATTTCCTTTACCTTTACAATTTGGTATTCATTAATTTTGTACTATTGATTAAGATAGAATTTTAGTCAATACATAACATACCCCACACTATAAACAATAACTTTCATCTTGTACATCTGACCTCTCTCACACCTTGACCCCAGCTCCCCGCGGATCGCTTGTAACTTGTAGCTTGCGCCCGCACACGCTGGGGTCCCGCTAACAAGCGCACGCGCAACTTATGGCGCAGTGAAACTTATTAGCACCTGTTTTGTACTGCAATTATTATTATTATTCACTTTTACTCTATGAAGCCGTTATTGCCAATTATAATGGTCTTATGTAGAAGTAACTATTTTAAATATTGTTCTAATATATATTTGATAATGTCATAGTTGGCACAAAATTAATGAAAAGTACTAATCAATTATTTAGGTAAAATGATTTAAAAAAATAAGTACTGAACTGACTATGTTATTACTTGAATGCTATTTTGGTAAAACCAATATAACAGTTGTTACCTATTATTTAAATTGGGTTGGTAGGTATTTATTCTTTATTTTAAAATTATGTATCCATCTTACATTACACACAATATTATGTTTGTCATTTTAAATCGCAAAAGAAACCCGTTTTGTTTATAAAAGAAAATCAAACAAAACAAAAGCTTTCACATTTGAGTTTCTCACAAAAATATTTCATGACGTTTCTCTTTTATCACTCAGAAGAGAGAAGTCGAATGATTTTAAGGTAAATAAAGTACTTACATATTTATACATACATGTATGGAAGCTCAGCATGAATATTTACATTGAAACCATGTATCTACAATCTCGCTAATTCATTTCTACACCATCATCAGACCCGCTACAAAACTGCTGGACGTAGGCAAATCCCATAATATAACATCACGCCTTTTATCTCCGTAGGCGTAGGCAGAGATGCACACAGAAGTAACACCCACTTTACACTATTTATATTATGAGTCCCATGTAATAGGGGGTGAGCCTATTGCCATATACCGGACACATTTCCAGACTCCGTGCTACTACTGAGAATTTATAAAAACCCAGTAGTACATTGCCCGACCCGGGAATCGAACCCGAGACCCCTTGCCCGGCAGTCGCACTTGCGAGCACTCGGCCAACGATGCAAATCCCAATGACTTTCAAATAGGTCGGTAGAAAGAAATTTATTTGTTCGTCCAAAAACAATGACAATATTATTCAATCTATTCAAATTACAAACTATTCAATAGGTATACCATAAAATAGACGTACAGTTGTACACAAACTAATGTCATACCTTACAAGGCGGCCGTACAATTAGCAACAACAATCATAAGCGTACCATACAGCAACTACAACTACATGACCAACGACAGGTAGTACGAGTCAAACCAAAACAACAGTGTTCGAAATTTAAATAGTTTCCGATGACGTGTCACACGGTCACGTCACGTTGCGTCAGCGCATAAGCTAATCGGCGCGCGCGCAACTTGACCGTACGACAGTGTTGCCACACCTCCACTCGTTCTGATTAGAAACCTCTTAATTACTGGCAGATGATAATTTGGCACATATCTGCGGTTTTATTCTGAAAGTTTTAAATGCTTTAAAAAAAGAAGCGTATAGAATGCTTAGTATCTCCCACATGATGGTAAATTGCATAATTGTATACAGTTACTTTTTCAATAGAATAGAGGTATAGCTCATGAAAACTTTACACAATGTTACAATCTATCCGCAAAGAGTTCAGTGGTAAATTCTGAACACCAGTTTCTTAAGTAGTACCAAACAGGTGACTTTAGCCAAACTACAAACTCAATTCCAATGCAACCTACTACTGAAATATTTCAAATCAAAATAACGATGCACAACGACATAAAACATCTAGATGTGGCATGTCACAACGACATATTCAAAGTGTCAACTGCAGCGAACTGTGAGGAAACGTAATGCAGCTGTCAGTTACAACAGAGCAGAGGTCAGCACTGTCGACCCATCGCGGCCGGCATAGCAAGCAGCAATCACTAACAAATTGCCGACATGTTGGGAAATGGTGCGCTCACGCAAATTGCTAAGTGCGTGAGATGCAAGATGTGGTTAGAAGGTATGCGGCCGAACGGGAAAAAGGAAATGGGGAAATGTTCGCGCTGATGTCACTTCTAGGTAACTTAAGTATCTGGGGCGTTTTATTTGTTGGGTAAGATGAGTTCTGAGTAGTGTATTCGATGTTATACAAGGTTCATGTGTCATTTAGACGTAGGATTTTATTGAAGCTACTGGGAACATCAGTACTTGTAGGTACTAGACATTTACGGAGAGTACAACGTACTTAGTGAAGAGGCAATATTACAGGTATGATTAATTTCACAGACACATCTCAAACTTCATCACCCAAACTGTGGCTTCACCCACGGCTGTCAAATCTTAACACAACCAGGAGGAGGAGGGAGGTACCCCTCTATACTACTTGTTGTTAGAAATCGTATAGAAATCCGTTCAGAGAGATCAGTTTTGACAACATCAAAATCAGACAGATGCTGCAGGAGACATTGGGATCATTTTTCAATCATCAGTTAATTCTTCATCATCATCATCATCATCAACAGCCTATTAATACCCACTGCTGAGCAAAGCCTCTTGTCACACGGAGAAGGTCTCAATGCGGGTTGGCGATTACAAACTTATAATTAGAAATTATAAGTCCAGGTTTCCTCACGATGTTTTCCTTCGCCGTTTGTCAGTGGTGTCTATACAATCTTAGAAAGTACATATAACTCGGAAAAAGTCACATTGGTACTTGCTGTTGGTAGGTTTCGAACCCGCACCCTCATGCATGAAAAGCGGGCGTCTTAAACCTCCGGGCCACCACGACACTCTTTAACGAGTTAATTCTTGACTGTAGAATAAAATTAACATTTGACAGTTATTAGTATGGAAGAATTGTCAAATATTCAAAGTTATTCCTATGATAAAATTTAACTGAGCATTGAAAAGCCGGCCCTTAGATTATAAACTGTACATATGTAAGGAAAGGATATATGATATGACTTAATTATATTCCTTGACATTTGTTACCAGTACATACATTACATTACATTATGATCACATAACACAAGGTTGCCAGTAGATTGGTGTCACATATTAATTGTTACTCATACAAATTACTCGACAGCTACCTGCCTGTCTTGTACCTTTTGTGGTGACCTGGATGATATTATAATTATTGTAATTCATACTTGGTTCAAAACCACATCTATTCAGCATAAAGTCTGCTAGACCAAACAACATGCCGCGGAGAACCTAACGGGTTACCGGGGCTCCGGCTCGAAGTACATGATTAGGAACGAGATGGTTTTTAGTCAGTAAGAGTCTGACACTCCGCCTCACCTGGGCGGGAGAAGTTATTGGATGATTTTCCCCCCTTTAAAAAAATATCAAACAACATATTAATATATTTATAATTATAATATATTTCAATCACTTAAAATAAAATTGTTCTTAAGATTAATTTAGAGTTATTTCAGTATGCAATGTTGGCATTGAAACAAGTTGGACACAAAATAAATTATAAGCAGTGTAATACAGAACTGTTTACCTTGTTATAGTCACCACGTAATTAATATAATTGGAGACATAATTAATTAAAGACATTCATCGCTAAATGAAATGAACAATGACCGACATCTGTTACTCCTTGATATTTTTTATAACGTTGCCCCACACTGGGATTTGATTTTCTCCTTTTTCGTGGTTGCGTTTACAAATATACAAGTTCACATACACATGACACACAGACCTGGAAGAACAATTAGTGGATCAAACAAAGAGTTGTTTCATGCGGGAATCGAACCCCCTACACGTTGCGCGGCAGCCGGTTGCCCAGCCACCGCGCCAACCGCGCAGTCAATTACTTGAGTTTATTTGAAAAAAGATATTGCCATTGTCAATAAATCAGAGTCTATTTCCAAAAACGAAAAACTGAATTCAATTTCATCAATTCCTCTCGTAAGGGAAAACCCTTTGTTTAACCGTAGACTAATTACGAAATCTAACTGATGCTCATATTCATCTCTACAGCTTTGGACAACAATAAACAAGACATTATATTTAGACAAACAAACATTTTAATAAAACCTCATTGTGAGTTCCTAGACACATAGTTTAGATAATAGGCTTTACATTTACAAGCGCGCGCAGTGCAATCAGAATGAACGCGTGGGGTCGCTGACACGACACTATCGAGTCACCTTGACATCGATCTCGATCACTATTCGATTAACACATGTTGTTTACTGTGACTGCGTTTATTTATTTAGGAGACCAACTATAACTTACAAGTTAATTAATATATATAAATAGTTAAATTAGATACGTAGGATCGACCTAAAAATTCCGTAAAATTAACACTTTAATTCATAATGATATAACATAACATCACGCCTTTATCCCCGAAGGGGTAGGCAGAGGGGCACATTACGGCACTTAATGCCCTGTACAACGTAACACCCACTTTTCACTTTTTATGTTACGAGTCCCATGTAATAGAGGGTGAGCCTATTGCCATATACCGGACACAGTTCTAGACTCCTTGCTGCAACTGAGATTTTTTTTTAAACCCTATAAACTTTGCCCGATATGGGAATAGATCCCAACAGTCGTTACCCGGCAGTCACCCTTGCGACCACTTGGCCATTTATAATACGTAGACTTTCATTAAAATATGAAAAAACACATCCAGTCTTTAAAGAGATTCTATATAATTTTCAAATACCATGGACTAAGGACATACAAACTAACAATCAACAAATTATCGTAGCAAGCTTATTGTTTGTCATTAATTTACAAACATAAGTACTTCAAAATCAAATAAACGCTTATTCCATTATGCCAATTCTAAAGGCTAGATCACCTGTCCTTTTTCCACCTGACTCTCAAGGTCCAAGGAGTCTAAGGTCTCCGCTTACCCGCTGCACAATATCGAAAGCTCACAGCTGCAAAGTTGAGGTCAACCGAGTTGCAAGTTGACTGAACCAATTACAAACGTAATATTATATATATCTTTATATCTTATAGCCCTTCGACGCTTGCGTAATGTAATAAGAAAAGTTATTTTAGTATCTATCTGGAAATTAGAGTTTTGAAAAGTTTTCGTATTGGAATGTTACACACGCTCGTTAATTCGCGAAGGACACACCGGGCGTCGGGGATCGCGGGACGATCTCCGGCCACCGAAAGCGCGGGCCTGCGGACGGCGAGCATGGGTGGCTCCCCGTCCGACTATAAACAGACCCGATACGAGCATACGGCGCGTCGCGTTCCGCGCGCGCCTCAAAGAGCCATCAGACCACCACAGATGGGGCCCAACAGTCGATTGCCGATTCGGAGTCGCAGAGAACCTAACGGGTAACCGGGGCTCGGGCTCGACGTGCAGGAGAAGAAACGGGGTGGTTTTTAGTCAGGAAGAGTCTGACACTCCCTCCCGCCTCACCCAGGCGGGAGCAGTCATTCGATGATTTTCCCCCCTTAAAAAAAAAACACGCTCGTTATTCTGTATATGAAATATTTCCTACACGTAATTTGATATCTTATCGCACACGACAAGTAGGAAGTGATGTTTTTGGAAAGTGTTGCCAATGTTGCGGGTTGCATTAACCTAAAGGTCTTACACCCAAGACCAAGGCAAACCTTCCGTAAATGTCAGAACAACACATTCATCTTTTACAGCACTTTCCAATATTTTACATTAAAAATATCTGATTGATTTTTTTCCGCATTTTCGTTGATATGAAAAATTACCAGCAAAGAGAACTTATAATTTCAATAAAGGACGTAGTTTAAACGGGGACAGATGCAAACAAAATAATTAATGTTTTAAGTAAAACCTTCATGGTGAATCACTGATGACACTGGCCACTAAGATTGGAGTGACAGTTGCGTTTTAATGAATACAAAAAGGCCTTTGTTTTATTTTAGCGGGAATTAATTTTATTTGAATAAATTAAAATAATATTTTATTTATAATTTTTTTCGTTATGCATTATTTAGTTTTTTTTATTAGATTGACTAAAACAAATGTTTTCTTTGCATTGCAGTGGAAGACGCGAGTGGTCGCTACACATCGATGTTCTACTGGGGCAACAACTACTGGACGGGGTCAGCAGAGCTGTGTGACATCCTCAACGACCAACACACACCCATCAGACAACGCAACAGTAAGTCAACAGTAATTTACTTCTACTTTCTTTAATGTACATACGGTACCCTGAAAGTGATAAGTCAACTAAAGAGTTTTCCACGTGGTTAAATCATAGATATTTTTTTTAAGAGAATATAAACGAAAGAGTAACATATGGAGTTTCTTGCTAGTTCTTCTCTATTTGAATCTTCATTTTAGAATGAGCTAGGCGCTCGTAGCCCGAGCTTTAGTGACAAACTGACAGACTGTAATTTGTTTTGTATTTGTTGAGGTTTCAAAAGTACCAAATCATGGTTTAATTAAAATAAATGCTTTGGCTTTGGTTGGCAAAAATCTTGTGGTGCCTCTGATATGTCAAGTGCAAGATAGTTACTTATCAGGTGGTCATCTGATGGACCGTAAGCTTTGAAGCTGTAAAGAAGTTGTGTATAAAGGTTGAGGACGTATTGAATATTGACAGGCAACAACTAAAGGTTGTTTAACATAGCTATCAATTTAGTACTGTAACCAAACTTGCTGTCAACGAGAACCTAACGGGTAACTGGGGCTCCGGCTCGACGTGCAGGAGAAGGAACGGGGTGGTTTTTAATCAGTAAGAGTCTGACACTCCCTCCCGCCTCACCCAAGCGGGAGCAGTCATTCGATGATTTTCCCCCCTTGAATAAAAAAACCAACCTATGCTATGCTATGTGCAACCATTATGTTTATATTATCTTGAATTATATCCTTTTGCAATAGTTTTAGAGCAATTTAGCTGTCTACTCAAAAATTTCAATTCGCCACAATCTTGCAAGTTATTGTGTGTAACGTGCGTGTCAATCTGCACGGAACTGCGTAGGCGCATGAGATTAACACGCAAAGCGATAAAACAAGATAAAATTAGAGGCTATAAAGTCTAATATCTTTATGGTTGCGGAATTGTTTGCGAGCTTAAGTAAAAGCTGCTAAGCGAACTGAAAAATACCTAAGTGTGTGCCAAAAGAAAATAGAAATATTTTGTCTTATGCTTTTTTAAAACCTCGTAGATTGCTCAATCCTCCGCAAAAGCTTAATTAACTACGTATGTATATTATGTTCAGAAATAGAATTGTAAACTGTTTTAGTGTAATACGTGATATAATACAAAAAGGTTACCAGAGGCCCAATTACCCCCTCCCTAGTCCCCGTCTCCCGAATCCCCGAATCCTCCACAATCCTCAAATTCCCAATTCCCAAAAGCAAACGCACTTGTAACGCCTTGGCATTTCGAGTGTCCACGGGCAGCGCCGATTGCTTACCATCAGGTGAACCGTCTGCTGATTTAACGACTTATGATTTGAAAAAAATTCTTAATTTCTTAACTAGCAGAAAATGATAATAATTAAAAAATCTAAATCATAAATCAAAAGATCATTAACAAAAGCAACATAGTACGATTAATTACAAATACTAAAACAGTACAATTTGGCAACAGACAGGAGAACACGACAGTAAACGAATAGCAATTAATTTCATCAACGTGAACCTATGTAGATTGCAATATACAAGTATCGGAGTAGTTCCACGCAATATGGCGACACTCGCTCCAATGTACACTAATCGATATGCTGGTATCGAATGCTATCGATAATAGACTAACTTACACAATCGATTAATGGTAGAAATTGCTACGGTACAATTTTCTTTGAAATTACTAGTAACTTTGGTGTAATTTTGCTGATGGAAAAAAGGGTAGCATTAGTTTTAGTTTAAGTTACATAGCACAATATTTCAAAGTCAAAGTGTGGGAGAGTCATGCTTCGGCACGAATGGGCCGGCTCGACCGGAATGATACCACGGGCTCACAGAAAATTGACGTGAAGCAACGCTTGCGTTGTGTTTCGTCGTGTGAGTGAGGTTACCAGAGGCTCAATTACCCTAGTCCCCGTCCCTAGTCCTCGTCTCCTGAATCCCCGAATCCTCCACAATCCTCAAATTCCCAATTCTCAAAAGGCCGATAACGCACTTGTAACGCCTTGGTGTTTCGAGTGTCCATGGGCGGCGCCGATTGCTTACCATCAGGTGATCCATCTGCTGATTTACAGGCTTATGATTTAAAAAAAAGGTCAATGGAGAGAGATTAAAATAAATCGAATAATGAAATAATAGTATAGAACCTTTATAGCTCCACAATAAACCTAGACATTAATAACTGATTTCAAAAGTAACTGGATCAATAAGGTTTTGACAGAAATTCAATGCAACTAATTTAAAAATCTTCTCAATATAGAGATGTTGACCTGAAACCACTTTTTTTTTTTGGACGACCCCGCCACTACCTCCCAACGCCGCTGCAACTCCTGTAAGCCAGGATCTACAGTAGATACAACCTTGAAAACACTGAAGTCCGGCGCGTCCCAGGGACATGAATAATTGTCTTGGATCCCGTACCGAAATAATCAGGAGATATTAATAGAGGAAAAGAAAAATAAATTTGAAAAGAGGATTTATGCAGGGGCCGATTTATCAGATCATTAAATTCAGGTGTCAGTCAGTCACCATTTCCTTTAAATAAAAATAACAAAGAAGTGATTAGTGAGTATAATATTATTACCTGTCTCCTCTTAATAGTTACATGAGCAAAACAATTATGAAACTAAAGTCTCTTTTGGAGCGTCAACAATATTTGCACGGTAACCGGCGCAGGCGCATTGCACTGGGTCAAGGGGTGTTGACTTACGTCACTTTCTACAAACACCCGCGGCCTTGCGCCGGCGCACCACTCGTGATACTTCCAAAAATACGATGTATTTTATCTTTAACTTTTGTGTTTCTTACCTTGGCGCTTATTTTACTTTTGCAATGCAATTTTGGAAAATTACTAAAGTTGTCGTTAACTCCTGTGGTATAAAAAAATCTATGTACATTTACCGCTTGAATGCGCCGATATGAGACTAAAATACATAAAACAACGGGTACGGACAAACGACGGGTTAAACATTAAAACCAACGATTACTGACAGTTGCTATTATGATATTAGGGCAAAATCTGTTCAGGTAACCACGATGGCAAAAATATAAAAATCTGAAAGTTAAGCGTTGACTGCTTAAGTACGTGTTGCACAATATTAACTTTTACAATTCTATTTCCTGCTAAAATAACACTTTAAAATAAGTAATTATGCAATTTTAGTGACTGTTCCGAAACTATTGCAATACTTCAGGCATTCAACAGTCGCTCAAACAAAACAGCTGATTTTATTGTAGTGTGATGCAAATACCGCGCGTTGATGTCTTTTGTACCGCGATGCGTATGCGTAGCGAGGGTTACGAAAAAAATATTTCGAATAAACTTTTAAGGCTATTTGTACAGTCTGGATATTTTATGAATACTAACTTTACGTCTTATTTTCGAAACAGATTTACGTAAAACATAAATTCTTGCGATATTTTTATTTCTGCAATTAATTGTTATAGTATAGCTTTATCAAGGTATTGATAGTTTTGTTCTTGTGTTTCCAGAAACGATTCGCTCCCAGATTTTCAACGACTGGCGTCAAGACCTGTCGATGGTAGGCTTCGGGCCTCCCTTCGAGACAGCCTTCTACATCGCTAAAGTCAGCGTCACCACCAACTACACTGAGGTCGTCAAGACTGTAAGTTTTTGATTATGTGCCAATTATATTTAAAACGATTTAACGAACATTAAATCATTTTTCAGTTTTTCTATAACTTATGATTTTATCTATATTGTCTCATCAGTAATGTTACACATCCCGTGTAATAAAGGTCGCTAAGAAAGGCGAAATTTAAAAATGAAAATATGTTAACCCAAAATTTTCTTATCTCTCCAGCGCCGTACTCTTCACCTGGGTATGTGCCTCCCCCGATCATGCACCCGTGACGCTGTCTCCGCGATGGTCGCCGGCGCACGCGCACCTCTGTTACGTCACAATGTTGTAGCCGTCAGATCGCCTCAACATGGAGGATACACATACCTCGGCGACCCCACCTTCAGAGTGTTGCTGTAAGTACTATATTTATTGTTTACTTACTTACTCTAAATCAAATCAAATTATTTATTTACAAAAACATGTGTAAACACACACGGGTCGGACGGCGAGCATGGGTGGCTCGCTGTCCGACCAGAACCTGGGGGCTTACTCTTGAATCCAATTCCGATCAATCGACATTGGAATTGTGATATTTCGTACTCTCGAGTTCCAACACTAGCGCCCATTGCATCCGTATTGGGTGGATATTGAATGAACTAAATGGTATTGAGTTTGGCTTTATATTCCGTACTCTGAATGCTATTGTAACAGCTACGATAGGGGTTGTATAGTTTTGACATTGAATAGTTATTGAGATTTTATTGGATTGAAATTGCATTGACATTGAGATTGGTTTCAAGAGTAAGCACCCAGACCCGAGCGTCCGGCGCGTTGCGTTCTGCGTGCGCCTCAAAGAGCCATCAGGTCACCACGGATGGGACCCAATAGGGCTAATGCCGATACGGAGCTGCGGAGAACCTAACTGGTTACTGGGGCTCCGTCTCGAAGTGCAGGAGTAGGAACGTGGCGGTTTTTAGTCAGTAAGATTCTGACACTCCCTCCCGCCTCACCCAGGGGGAGCAGTCATTTTCCCCCGTAAAAAAATACATACACACACAGGTAATATATAGGATGTATATAGGATGAACAAGATAAGGTTGCACTTAAGACATGTTTGCCACTGCCATGTCGTCATGGCATGCAAATTTCAAGTTTCTATTGACAGTTAATCTTTATATTGATAATTATAACTTACTTATTAGAGTTACTAGCATCCAATTATTCCCGTACGCTAACGTTTAAGAATTGTTACAATAATTACAAACACATACAAATCAAATCAAATAGGTTTATTTGCTGAACAATAGTGTAGTATATAGTGACTAAGGTGTTATTTATTTGAGTTACATATCTCTTTCTTCTACCCATTGAGCATGCAAATATTGGGTATGTCTCAGCCAAATTGTATGTATTAATTAAATTCAAAATCAATCAATATAAGTCAGAGTCAAAAATTAATTATTTTCATAACTCAATAAGTCAGTCGTAAAAATTATACATAATTAATCGAAAAAAATATAGACAATAATAATATCAGTCAAATTAATAAAATTCAAACATCAAAGTCAATCTAATTATAATGGTGACTTGTATAGTTTTCACAAAATTGATGTCATTATAGTACAATACGTAATTCACACCATCAATTTACGTCCGCGTCCTAGTCTCTGTGTAGTTCGTGTAATTTGTCTAATAAAGCATAAATTTGATTCTTAAAACCTAATTTCTAATAACACTGACATAACTAGCCTAATATGATTAAGCTCTTCTCCTAATATTATAACTAATTCCACATAATCTTCTATATAAATAAAAATTAATTTCCGTTCGTTAGTTTCGCTAAAACTCGAGCATGGCTGAACTTATTCGGCTGATTTTGGTCTTGAAATGTTTGTGGAAGTTCAGGGAAGGTTTAAAAAGGAATATAAAGTTTGCCGGCTTAGCTGGTAATTAATATTTATGCAAGATCCGTTCTCATCTTAGTTCAGTTTTCATGAATATTTATCAACATATATAGATAACAACGCATGTAAAACAAGTTTAGTAACTACAATTACAACAGACACTAAGTAGGAAGCGATCCTAACTTAAGCAACTTAAGTTATCACTTCTTGCGATAAACTTGTTTGCGTTTACACATACAAACAAAGAAATCGCAAGAGGAACATACAACCTTTGAAATAGTGACTTCTGCTTACACATTCATTGATCATTTGGTTTATTAGCTAATTCTATGTAGGTAATGACATAACTTCTCACCTATTATTTAATAAAATAAAGGCAGCGGTGTATAATTTTATATGTATACTTAGTTATTTACAACAAATTCACATATTTGCCTATCGTTTGATTGCGGTTATAAAAATATATGTGTATAGTGTCTATTTCTAAAATGGAACAATCGTTAGCTACATTAAGTTATTGATTATTTTGAAATTGAAAAAGATAATTACGATATACTCAAGAATTAGCCAAACAAATATATATTTCTGTGAAATAACTATCGTGAAACATACATTATGTATTTCTACTGCATAAATAATGTTGTATATTTCAAATATGGCTGCCAACTCAGTTATATAAGTAATCAGGTTAATAATATATTAAAGTCGAGCATTCAACATAAATATAAGTTTTCATTACGTTCTGCAACACATTACAAAACTTATTTATTGCTTCGGCTTCACTCGATGTTTCAATTTTGTTTCTTTTGGTAATAACTTAAATATCAATGCTTTTTATATAAATACTCATACTTACATGTTATTTCTTAAAACTAATTTTGTTTATTAACTCTGTCTTATCTAATAAGTTAAAATAAATAAAAGTATTTTTGTTAATGAACGACATTTTACTGCATTATGCTGAAATAGATATGCTAATGCATATAAAAAAAAATATCACACGTTTCTATTTTATCTAACATAATATCCATATTTGGTATTTTGAGAAACTTAACGTAACAAGCTATTTTAGGAATTGTTTCGTAAAAGCAACTCAATTTAGATTTACATCTAGTCATAATAGAAGTCTGAATTCACTACACCACCAATTACTGGAAAAACTCCAATAAAACACAACACGTTTAGCATAATTATGAAATTGTTGACATTAAAGATATTTCCTAAGGCTTGCGATACACCCGTTTATACCACTTTCTAGAACCGTGTTTGTGTGTCAGGCATTCGCGATGACGTCACACTTCTAGACTAGACTAACAGCCGGACAAGTTAGACCTTTAAATTGTAATGCACTTTATGTAAGCCACGTAAAATTATATAATAACTTGAGCAATTTTTGGGACTAATCTTGATTGGTCATTGTTTCAAATTCTTTAGTAACATTACAAGTAAAGATCACTATGGTTCATTGGTGATTGGTCGTTTTGTTTTTGTTTTCTCTAAGAAATATTTCAATTGATCGATTGTAGTTTAATTATGTCATTTTGTGTTTTCGGTCTAATCTTCTTGTATAGTAACGAAATTAAAGGGCCAAATACATTTCAACGCGCAAAATATCAACAAACAATGAAATCTAGATCAATCGTAACTGGTTCCTATTTATACTTTACATTATTTCAGTAAATAGGTACTCCAACTAATATTACTTCTAAACCACATTGCTATGATTGCACCCGACGGGTCCAATTGTAAAATAGTTATATTATTAAACCTACAATTACTGTAAAATGATTTGTTATTTAACGTTACAAAACTTATGCTTTGTGTAACGACAACTAAATTGTTAGTCGAGTTTCTACAGGAAACCTTATTCTAATTTTAACAAATTTAGTTTGAAATAACAAACAGATTCCGACCTGTCAAACAACGAACTGATATCGATTAACTCACTGTCATTTTAAAGTTCTATACTCGTACACTTTCAGAGCCGTATCCTGCCTGGTCACCATCCTGCTCATCACAGCGACAATTTACGACATGAAGATAGCCCGCGACGTTCGCAGGCGCAGACAACGCGCAGCCAATATGGCGGCCAACATCGCCAATGGCGGTGCTCGCAGCGACCTTAAACTCGACCTTAACGGACTTGACGACATCACTGTTGCTAATGGTAACTTAAGTAATGCCCAATCTCCTATTTCTTCTCCTTCTTACTGAGTCACAAGTCACAGTAAATAGTACACAATAATAAAAATCAATCGACAGACGTAAAACAAACTCTTAAGACACTAAATTAAACATTGGTAGTACAACTTATCTATAATATATTCGCCTTGTTTCGAGCTTGACCAGAGCCCTTATGAACTTTCAATATAGCTACGATTAATTTCTTATTAACTTTCTGTGCAGGCAAGTCGATGTACAATGTGAACAACAACCTGCAAATGAACAGCAACACCTCGGAGGAGCGTCTCACCGCTGAGACCCTCTCCACTGACGAACTCAAACTCAGTAAGTTATAACATAACACTTGTCTAGTGATATGGGACCTTCCGGAACTGTCACTACATTTTTGCAGGTAGTATTTTTATTTTAGAAGTAAAACTCTACCTATTCCTTTAATATATTTTAAAACTATATTTGCCAGAATTTTAATATGTAGTCCTCCTTATCCTTGTCGGTAACGGTGACCTTTTGTAGCTATTTTCCCAAAATTTTCTAACACCCTCAATATTAGGTAACGTAAGTAATTTATCCAAATCACACTTATTAATGTCCCTGTAGTCTCTATTAACGCCTACAACATAACTAACAGCAAAGTCCCCAATATTAAGTTGCTATTGTATCATCACCAGGCATTTGGTCGGAGTTACTTCTCTCATTCTCCATGAAGGCCAACGTACTTCAGATCTTCGACCAGTCAGTCGGAGCTGACACTGTTCCTGTCGTGCACGGACTCAGGTCTCTGTCCATGGTCTGGGTTATATTCGGACACACATGCATCGTTGTCTTCAAGGTAACTAATAAATTATTATCTTCATTAATTATTAGATTCACAATAACCATATCAATGAAAAGAATGACTTTCAAATTTTTCTTACTTAAAATTTACGTTTAACAATATTGATTTCACTTGGTTTCTAGTACGCCGACAACACTGCCCTGCGAGCCATCTTGGAGAAGAGCTTTTGGTTCCAACTTATCATCAGTGCCGTCTACAGCGTCGACACTTTCTTCTGTCTGGGGTATGTTATCATTCCCATCATAAACATTAATTATCATAAAATACGTTTTTAGTCTCAATATAGGGACATAAAGGTAAAAATCAAAATGACCAGTATCTTCAAGAAACTGTTATACGTGTTTATTAATTTCCTTTTGTAATTCTCCAGAGGTATGTTGGTGACGTTCCTGTACTTCCGCACGAAGACGAAGGGCAAGCTGGACCTGCTGGTGAAGGGCCACAGGAAGATCACCTCCGGAGCACTGCAGTTCCTGGGACTTATTGGATACAGATTTGCAAGGTCAGTGAAACCTTACTCTTCTGCAATCGATTTTTGATGGTTTAAGTAAAAAACATCCGATAATCTTGCCAATATGTCTCCAGACTGACTGCTCCATACCTGTTCATCCTGGGTGTGGTGGAGGTGACGATGAAGTGGTTCGCGCACAACGCAGTGTTCGAGCCCCCGGCGAATGACTACGACACCTGCCCCAAGTACTGGTGGAGGAACCTGCTCTATATCAATACTCTCTTCCCTGTTGAGCAGATGGTGAGTTGAACGTAGACAAGCAATAGAAAATCAATCTTAAATTATTCAATCAATCGAAAGAAAATCAATCTTACTTTTCCTTTCCATTTCCAAAATTATTTCTGGACTTATGCTCCCAAGTGAACATCCTAAGTTTTTCAAAAATTTTGTAAAAAAAATGATTATGTTTGAAAGCTTCTTTGACAAAACTTGTGTTAAAGTTTGTTGTTCTTTCTTACCAAAAAATCTTTCATTCCAGTGCATGTTGTGGAGTTGGTACCTCTCAGACGACACTCAGTTCTACGCAGTCAGCGCCATCCTTCTGATCTTGGCCACCAGGTAAGCTACTTAACTAGTTTATTACTAATCCAACCAATTATTTAGAACAGACCCATTCTTCTGATAATGCCTGGTCTGTTTAGAAGACTGACAGTTTCTTTCAAAGATTTGAATCAATGAAAACTTTGCACTGACTCTTAACCTGTTTCCCTTCTAGCCACTTCAAGCTCTCAGCCTCTTTAACCGGTGTCCTGTTCATCTCTTCTCTCTTCACGACTGGTTACGTCTCCTGGAGCAACGACCACATCCCCAACAGCGAGGATCCCTTCACTCAGTTCGACAAGGTGTATGAGAAGCCATGGACTAGGCTCGGACCCTACCTCGTGGGCATGTTCACTGGGTGGATACTGTTCAAGACTAACTTGACTATTAAGATGACCAGGGTGGGTATTTTCAGATTATGATGACTTGACGAATTTTTCAGTAAAGTAGAATGACTTCATTGTTTCATCACATTTTTAAACCATCACTTTTAGGCATATTGAGTAGTTTGTTGGTCATCCAAACTGTCCATAGTCAATAGCAAGGATTTTTTCCCATTATGTATCAAACACCTTTTGTACACTGACCAACAGACTTTCAAAAGTGCCTTTTTCGTCTATTTGGAACTATATAACTTTGACACAACTTACTTACCATTTTTTGTTGATCCAGGTATGGGCATCAGTAGGCTGGTCAGTATGTGCTGGTACACTGCTGTTCCTGATATTCGGTCTGTACAAGACGGAGCTGGGCGTGTTGTCTGCGGCAGTGTACAGTGCACTCTCTCACTCACTGTGGGCTGCCTGCATCGGGTGGATCATCATTGCTTGTTCTACTGGACATGGAGGTGAGACTGAGCACGATGCCAATTATAATAATAAATAAAATGTTTATTTGGTGTAAAAAGCCAGATTACAAAATAAATCTTACTATCTAAACTGTCTATTATGACAAACATACTGGAATCATCATATGACAATATATCAGTATAATGACCGTCTCACTCTCGTTTATTTATCGGAGTCACAAACTATTAATATTTTCGGAAAATTGACAGTAAAATCATGAAGTCGGGAATAGTATTATAAGCCCTCTATTCTCTTACCAACACAGAACCTTTCAGTGTTGATTATGTATTAAGTTCGATATTACCTACATCTAATATCCATACTCCAAGCTCTATCAACCTCTTCGAGAAGTAAGTCACATGACAATAAGATATTTCTTTTGTTCCCCATAATATGATGTCAGTAAAGCTATAAATATATTAACATATTCCTTCGTGTCACAGGTTGGGTGCGTCCTCTGCTGTCTGCGCCGGTGTTATATCCGTTCTCCCGCGTGACGTACTGCGCGTACTTGGTACACCCTGTAGTGCTGCGCTACGTCGCCATGCATCTCACGCACCCTATACATATGGGAGAACTCTTCGTGGTAAGTGTACTTGTCTATATATAGCAGGCTCAAACTCAAATATTTTCCGTATATAATGCACGGACGGTGCAGATCACTTTGCATCATGTGGTCCATCTGCGCATAAACCTACTCTAAAAATAATTATTCTTTATTGCTACAATACTCTTTGAAGTAATACAGGATTCTAAATCAATTTGTCGTCTCCTTCAAGTTCTTACCGAATATTTACCATTTTTAAATCCGATTTTAAAACTCAATATCTTCGTCCGCAGTTCATCCTGTTCCTGGGTCTGACAGTGATATCGTATGCTCTGGCGTTCGTGATATCAGTAGCCTTCGAGGCGCCCATGGTCACCATGCTGAAGATAGTCTCCCCGCAGAAGAAACCGCACAGAGTATGAACCCACCACCCTTAGCTTTACCTACAAAGACTTTTAATTACTCCACCAGTTTTACAACTGACCTGCTACAAGGCGGATGGAAATAAGCTATTATATTGCGCAGGAGTTTAATTGGCCAAAATGTTTAAATGCATTCCGAACCTGCGCAAGAGTGGTTACAAAATTGTTGTACAACCTAATGGCCGCGCTGACCACGCTTCGCTACCTGATAGTTAGGGCGAATGTGATGTTAGTTATTTTATTCCCGGTCCTTATTTTCTAGATAACAATAAAAAAAATATTTTTATGAAAAAACGCAATAACAAGTTTTCTCTAGTAACGCCACCAATAAAACTAATAGTATTTCAGTTTTATTCGACAAAAGTTATATTTTTCTCGGATAATAGGGACCGGGCGTTAGTCTATTTAAGGTTAAGCATTCCAATGTATATTGTACTGTACCTAATGTAGTTTAATAAACATTAAAGTTATTGTATATTTCGCCTCGAGGAGGCTGGCTGACTGAGCAGTGACTGAGCAGTGAGCGCTGTATCGTGTTGCGTGGATTTTGATTGTATTTACTTTGAATTGGTTATGAACGATTATAGCTTTGTGTATTTCTGTTTAATCATCATGACAATTGAACTGAGAGTTGCGTTTCAAAAAAATTTGACAATAAATCATTGTATGTTTTTAAAAATAGATATACAAAACCAGTATAAAGAATTATTTTTCGTTTAAAAATATAACCAGTGAAAGTACGCTTTAGATAAAAAAGTATGATAATTTTGAAGCCATGCGTATGCGCATTAGAATAAAACACAACCATAGACTATTTCAATTTATTATATCTTACAAAATTTACAGTACCTACCACTAGAAATCATCAGGTAATAAATAAAAAATAAGTTATGTTCGATCCATACTTACATTATACTTACTTGTATATAAGTTTATGTACATAAGTCTAGGCTTGCAGCCGAGGAATGAAAACTTATTGATATTGTGCTTAACTTGAAGTTTAAACCTTTCTAAACAAATGACAGAAATAATAATGAAATCGAATGAATATAAATATCTGCTGGCCACTGTACCGTCTTGACATAATTGTCGAATGTCAGTGTCAACCTCATATATTGACATTTGTTTTCGATAGCCTACACTATTATTTATGTCATTTGTCTCATAGCACTGATCTCTGAACGGACAGGCATGAAAATGCCTGAAATATACTCTAAAGAATTTCTGCCTAACTTTCATCTCTCCAAAATATCTACATTAAAATAACATCTGAACAAACATACCTACCTAGTGTTAAATACTATTAAAATTAAAATGTACATTTATTTGATGTGTACCTAATAATGTAAATAAGCTGTAAATATAAATAGAAGTAAGTTTTTTACCGAATATTATTAATAAATATACTTTTTATTATAAAATTAGTGTTTTACTGGCGTTATGAGGCGCAGTCGGAGAGTCGTCTTAGAAGGCTGCAGCATGGCATCTCTACGAGTAGAGAGAGTAGGAGGGCCGCTAGTATTGTGGCTATTGTTGTTCCCGCGAAATACAGCCACTGAGAAAAAAGAGTGAGCCACACTGAACACTGTGAGTCATCAGAAACAGTAGAAATCGTACATAAGATGATTCTGTCCGTCGTACAACGTCAAAGTAAGTTGATTCTGCTTTAAAAATATCACTAACTCAAAAACGTCGCTAAATATTCATGAGTATTCTCACGAAGTATTCTTTGGATTAACTTTCACGCGTTGAATATGTTGCAACTGTTGAGAGACTTCAAGTTTCAACATTGTCTGCAAATATAAGTATAGCAGACACTATGTTTCTTTAATCGCATCTATATATTTCGTATGCGGAAAACTGAAAAAGGACTGAACAGAGTTTGAAATGACTGAAATATCTAGTTATTTTTGATAAACGTGATACATCATACATCAAGGGCGAATTTCCAAACTGAAAATCTGGACAAATACAGAAAAGTAAGTACCTAGAAGTATAACATAAATAAGTAATGACTTACAAGACACAATGTAGTGGAACAGAGCGCAGAGTCCACGGCCAGCAACATGGTCCGCGCCACGGCAGCGTGCAGCAGCAACATGCCGTAGCTCAGCCGACTCAAGGCGGCTACTGACGAGTGGGACGTCACTTTGCGGAAGATGCCTATTTTAAAAAGAATTCAATTGTTACGAAAAAATTACAATAAAAGTTAAACAGATTCAAAATAGTGTTTCCTTTTCTTGAATAGGAATGATGACAGGGTAAATATAGGGGAAAGTTTAGGAGTGGGAAGTAGCTACATCATTTTTGAGTATAAATTGTACACAAGAGTGACGTCATGCGATATTTCAAATTAATTAGTCGAAAGTATTTGTTCTGTAAGAAAATGAAAAATACGTGAATAATTTTTTTAAATAATCTACCAAAGCCACATTAACATAAAAATTAGTCGTCTATTTAAATGTGAACACATCAAGTTAATCTCAAAAATAACTTGATTTTGTTCTGATCTAAGCCTTAATTATTTCTTTAAACTCTTACCCGCCATATTAGTAGCGCCCATCAATACGGCCACAACAGTGAGATTGGCCAGGTCAGATGCAGCCAGGAGGCTAGCCAGGGCAGCCCCACCATCGGCACAGCAGACGAGGTAAACATGAACGATATTGATGCCATCCATAAGAGCGAAGACGTCACCTAGTATTAATAAGTGTTTTTAGTGTTAACAACAGCTTTCAATACGATTAACCACTAAAATACATAAGTCAAGTAATTATAAGATGTAGATTATAGTGTTAAAACTTAGAGTTAAAACGTTAAAGAAAATATTTGAAACTAAACAGGTACCTCATATTTTCTTTGTTAAGGCGAATTTAATAGCTGCGAGGGGATACCACAGGGTGTTATATTAGGACCTCTAAGATAAAATATAATTGCTTACCTTAGAAACTTTTAGTTTTCCTTGCACGACGTTAATCAACCATCCAGTGAATACGCCCATGAAGTAAGGAGCTATACGGGCCCACGGTCGTTCAATAATAACGGAGTATGCGCCAAACGAATTCGCAAAACTGAAAATCAAGAACCACATTTTAATAACATACAACAATACTTATATTAAATGAGTACTTAATAAAGTATTACTTACAATTGTTGAAAGTCAAAGTATGCAGAACTGGCATCAGCGACAGTGGCGGACACCATGGCAATCAAAGCGAGGAAAGCGGCGAAACGCCCGCGCAGGGTAGATGTCGCACTCATCGCACAAAGTAGAGCACCCACCATATGAAGCTGTGTCTCCGTTGATAGGTACCATGAGATTTGCATGCACTGGTACGAAAAAACACATAAAAAAGTACCTAACAAAAGTTTTTCAACACTTGCTTTCATCTATTAATCTCATAAAAGGAACTTTGTGAGGCCATTAGAAGAATTGAAGAAACTATGTAGGTAGAACGTCAGGCCACATAGTAAAATCAACCGTATTAGACTTAGTTGTAGGTACTAAAACCTACTCAGTCTAATATAGGTAATATCCATAAATTTAAAATCAATAAATTGCGAAGTATTCACGTTACCTGTTCGTTTTTCGGGTAAATAGTAGTAACATAAAGGAGGTTCCTCCAGCCATGGTCACGACAGTTGACCTCGTCCCCATCAGGCAGGGCCAGCGTCGCTGTCTGGTGGACTGACTGCGCCATCACCGCGGATAACAACACTGCGTATGCATAAGGTGGTAGTAACCTATTCAGAGAAACGTTTTTTCAAAACATTTACAGATAAAATAATTGGTACAAACTAAAGATAACAATGAATGAATTCTATGATATTTAGAATGGGCATGCATCACGAACCTGATAATTCTGTTTGTGACAAAGCAAATGAACTGTAGCACCTCCCCGCAGACACCCTGGAACCCAACCAACTCCTTGACGCTGTACTGACTCTTCAAGAAAAAGAAATGGTGGGCGCTGAAGAGACCGCTACAAACATTTTAAACAATTAAAATCATTCACTAATTGTCGACTGTTGATTTGTTTATAAACAATCGACCGAGATAATAGACAGACGTTGGAATTTAGTGCTAACACCAATCAAATACGACCAATCAAGAATTTAATTTAAATATAAGATTGAAATAAAATGTAATTTAACGGAACTAATCTGTAAATACCTTACGAAAAATAGCGTGTCAAAGGCTATTGTTCCAGTTGCGATTATAAGGTACACTCCACTTTGGTCATTAATGTCCGCAGCAGAATCTACAAAAAGTTTCAATGAGTTATCAACATTTTCAGAATTAAAAATGTAATCTTCATTACCAGTAGACACATACCTGAAATATACCCGACAATAACTGCAACGTGTATAAACATTATCCAAAACGTCGCCAACACTCTCATCACGTGTATCAACGACAAGTCTTTGTTCGCCATGTTCGTGTTGAATATCCTCTTCCAGCAATACGCCAGAGAGAAGCACAGGAGCAGCCTGCAGAAGATGTTCTTCTTCTTGCTCTCCGTGCTCAAACTCGCGAAGGAGTTGTACTGCAGCCGCGGGCAGGGCGGCAGGTTGTCGAGCTGGCGCGGGTTGCTGCACTGTTTCCTATACTTGCCACATCTCTTGCAGCTGCCGACTATCTTCTCCGCACAATTCACGTCCAGCGTAATCGTGGGAGCGCTGCACTTCACGAGACTCTCCACCGCCATGTAATGCGTGTTCGTGTTCTCCACTCCTAACATCTCCGTCTCCGTCTTTGGTTCATGTTCATGTTTCGCACTTGCATTATCTCTACCTAGCTTTAGCTTTCTACTAGGATCTGTATTGTATTTTTCTAGATCGAATGTCATAGATTTCGAGCCGTACGGTAGACATTTCATCAAATCTAAGTCTACTACTGTAGCGGTAATGGCCAAGGCCACGAGAATTGTTGTAATGCAGAGGAGTAGGACTCCGTAGCTCTCCGACGTAATATCGTAGTGTCCTACAACGCGCCTCACTGTTGTGACCCTCGCAACACGTGAAGATGTCTTGTTCGCTTTCAAGTTGTCGTTGACCATGATGGAAAAGTTGATGACTGACGCGATGTCGCGCGGGGTACACGAGTAGGGCATGCATAGACCCAAGATTATATCGGTGGACTGAAAAAGGAGACAACACAATTAAATTTCATATTTACTAACAGTCTAAGAAGTTTCAGTTACCCTTGATACAAAACCTTTATCATGTTGGTCTTGGTAATATTGAGAGAAAGGCCCAGCGCGGTGTAAGCGAGCCGGAATGGCGGCCAGGTGTCCGCAGCATTGTGGACCACGTCGTCGTGGTATACCATCCATCTCCACTCGTGTCTCTCTAACAATGGAAATGTGGACAATTTTCAAGATAGTTTGTTTTGTGAGACATAATTAATGTATGAAATATAATGTAAGTAGTTCATACCATCATCAAAGTACTTTGTTCTCGATATAGAACTAACATCGTCATCACCATTTTCCACTAATGGTGAGCTTCTGTTCGTTACAAACGATTGTTTATCCTGTTTAAAGAAATGTTACAATTAACAGATGTGGTGGTAAGTTCTGTATACCTCTAGAATGAGACGCTATGAAGTTTTAACATACCAAGTCCAGGCATCGATCTTTGGATCCCAACCAGTACCGATTGCCCATGAACAGGCCTGACCCATAACGCCCTGATGCGTCTAAAACTGGAAGTTAACATTAACTTTAGTAACTTAGGCACTTTATAAACTCGTAACTTTAGCCATTTATAAATTACGTATCTAGTTAAAAAACACAATTGAATCTTGACTAGATATCGCGCCAGTAAACACAATCCTAAACATAATTTCATTAACTATAGCTACAGCGACAGCGGTCGACGTAATTTCTCCACATTAGTTTTTGTAAGTGCGAGATTTAACTCTCACTGTGTCATGCTGAGTGGGCTCACGTCATCTCATCCGATACCATTGCTTTGGCTATGCATTCAAAAAATATATGCCCACTATGTACGATTGTCGCAGCGATGAGGAGACTGGGTGCTACGCGACGCAATGTGGTATCAATTCTGCACAGAAAACGCTTGCTGTGTTTATTGCAGCTTAGCAGATGCTTTTGCATCTAGCAGATGTAGCTAGATGTATACTTAAAGAGATTTACTTGTGATAAGTACAACTAAAAATTAAATTATTTTTCCAACTGAGTAAATAAGTTTAATTCGACTGTTAACTCTTGAGACAAGCTCTTCTATCATACATAATTATAACTTTATAGTAAACGTTTACAAGAATAAGTTTTACTTATTCTTCTTTGAAGTATTTAAATAAAAGCTGAAAAGCTTCTATCCTTCTTTGTTTCAATTGAAATCAACAGCAGTGTTGCTTCATGTATGTTTTGTTGACACCGCGCGTGCTAAGCTAACGGCATTAAAAACCATTAAGTATATTGTTGCGTGAATACTTTTCTTTCTAGTTTTTCTTGGTAATGCGCATATTTTGTAGTTCAAACGCCTAATTGGATTTTAAAGAATAATCTATGACAACTAGACGTGTGGTTACCGCAGAGTAGAAAACAATTGTCACGTGCCTTTAGCCAAACGCCACTTTAGCGCTTGTCTACAGAGAGAGTAGAAATCAAAATGTATGGGGATGACACTGACAAGTGTCAAAATTTACGTCAATTCCATATAATTTGCTTTTCTACTCTACAAGTAGACAAGTGCTAAATGGCTTTTGGCTACAGCTGCAGGCCTGTTCTTCTCGCAGATCTCGTAACCCCTGACTAATGAATAACGCATTTTGCAAGAGATAAGGCAGCTGGGCAGTACTACTCTCTGATAAACCTGAATCCTTTAAACGCAATCCTTAACCCGCCTGTCAAGTGTCAAACGTGGAAAGACACCGTCTAAGTAGAGAAGGCAGTAAGAGTTCAGTAAAAAAAATCTCAACATCTGTTACTGTACTGTTTTTTGAACAAACAACAATGTCAGCTTTTAATTCAAACTCTACAATAGAGCGTCCACAACAAATATCATTGTTTAGTTCAACAACAAACTGGACAAGACATGCATCGTCATTATAGACACAACATTCACTAAATCATAATCGACTGAATACAACGTTAATGAGCCGATGTGCACGGGCGAGCACTGAACCTAAGAACGTTCACATTACAACGAATAATCGAAAGTTAATGTCGATTTGTTGTCACGCACATTGATGACCATCGATTATTGATACAATGAGGAAATTACTTTTATCGTTACTTTTTAAGTACCAGTATTGTAATTTGATTTATTGACAGGAAATAGTTTCACTTTGTATAAGGTGCTTACCTATAGCTATAGTAGGTTTTACCTAAGTAAAAAGTTTGAAGCAGGTACCTTTGCAGTTTACTAAAGGTTGGTACGCTCTGAATGCTTGAACGTACCTACCTATCTAATTACCTAAGTATGTTGATGAATGTTAATAATTAATTAGCACTTAAATTAAGAGATATAAGGTAATAACTTTATATGAACGTTAAACGTAGATAATATTATACAAAAGATAAATATAAATAGCACACCGTATGCTGCTGCAATTTCGCATCTAGACCAATAGGCGGTTCTTTGATTTTATGAACAAAACTGAGAATCTTCATCACCGCGAGAGTAAACCCATAAATCGAGCCAAGTATACGACGTACTTAAAGCGCGAAGTGTATTTATAAGTTAGAAATTCATGCATGCATAATAAATTTAAATGGCAGGGAGGTAGGTGACTGGCACAGTGATACTACTTTCTTCAGGAACACTGCAATTAAAAGTAAATGGATCGTGTAATAACACCGTTTGCTAACATAACATAAAACCACTAGGTGTTTGTTCTAATACACACCCCGCGTTTTATATATTTCTTTCAATGTTTACATACACTGTACCTCTATTGACCCAGGTACATATCAAAACTACGTCTAGTCACCACAGAGTGGGCAGTTACATCCTCAGTGAATTTTCAGTGTCGTAAATACGATCACTAAGTTCTCCGACAGCGCAGGTCTGCGGACGGCGAGTATGGGTGGCTCGCCGCCCGACCAGAACCAGACCCGAGCGTACAGCTCGTCGTGCTCAATGAGCCATCAGACCACCACGGATGGGGCCCAATAGGACTGATGACTTAACGGGTTGCCGGGACTCAGGCTCGAAGTGCAGTAGTAGGAACGGGGTGGTTTTTAGTCAGTAAGAGTCTGACACTCCCTCCCGCCTCACCCAGGCGAAAGAAGTAATTCATGATTTTTCCCCCTTAAAAAAAAGTCTTCCGACAAGCGCGGGCTAAAACTGGCCGAGTAGAGAGAATTTTCTTATGCAGTAGAGGAAATATGCTGGCAAATAATGATGCTTTAATAATCATCAATGAACACACACCAACGCCAACAGGACATAATTATTCCTGTTGGTGTGTTTAGGTCATAACAAACAAGTTTAAGGCCTACCCGCCTTAACTATTTCGGTGGGTACTTAAAATTTGCTAGTTACCTATAATCTTCAACAAGCGTGAGATAAATATCTGCTAATCTAATGCTATTCGCTACAATTAACCATAGTACAACATTATTAAAAAGTAGGTAGAGAAGATTTTTCCATAACATATAATTACTAGATTACCGTACTCACCGTTTTCATTATCTCAATGATTGTGCCGTTAATTAGTGCGACTTACCGTTGTATGCCCATGCTTTGCCTTCCGTCAAGTCTTTGAAGAAATATCCGAGCTCTTCCCAGCAGTTGGGGTCAATTAAGATGTGCATTCCATTCGTAATTTTGGGCCAAACAACTGCCAAAAACGTTGGGTCGTACACATTAAACAAGTTGTCAAACACTTCGATTTTATCGGGACGTTTCCCAGCTCTATTTTCTTTCCTTGCTACATTTTGGCGCGAAATGCTTTTTCCGCCTTCAGCCAATATTACGAAGAATAGCACATAACACACTTTATTGAACATCATTTTGTTTAGCACATTTTATTTCGTATTTGTATCACGTACTGACATGCGTGCGTGCGCTGTACACACACAGTAACTAATGCTCACGAACTGCTGCAGTTGAGTCTCGCGCGACTATGTTTACAAGCACTCCATTGTAGCAAAAAATAAATAACGATTAGGATTCCTAATTACTAACAGACTAACCGTTTATTAATTTTGATTTCACGCACATGTCAATATGTCGATAAGAGTTACAGCACTTGTAATTAAATTCAGGTTTTTAAAGTATTATTCATATTTGTTATATTAGATTAACGTCTGTACACACCTAAACCTCACACGAATAGGTCTAACATTCGATTTTCCGATATGTTTGTGCTTTTAATTACAACTTTCTCTTTTAATCAAGATGTTATGGAGTAATTATAACGGAGAATTAAAAGCAATTAGTACAATTATCCGCGAAGATGAATACAAACGAGACTGTACTCCGGCAGGCTCACCGTAGGCTGACTTTATAAGTGGACGGTAACCGATGCGGAAACAAATTACTATGTAACCATTTTTAAGTATTTTTATAGACCATAAAATTGATAACAAATTAAATTTGACTTAATTGCATATCACGGCACTGGCCGTGGTATGGCAGCTGCCACCTCTGATATTACACAGTGCAGGCCACAGAGCATGTAATTATGTGCAGGCTCTCGTCTGGCGCCAGAACAGTAATGAGTATAAGAGTCTAGTGCAGCTACCACTTTTTTCAAAATAAAATAATACGCGTAAAGAAACTGCTGCTTCTACAAAAGACTGACGTCGATGTGCCAAATAAGTGCTTTTTCTTTCTATACGCGACTTTTATTTTGACGAGATCACTTCCCTTTCATCCAGGCCCCCAAAGTATCCCAATCTTACGCATGATCGACTTGGAACCCTACGCCTGTTCTTTGATCTTTGACCAGTCAAAAATTGAGCGAGTGCGAAGTCAATCGCAACTAGCGTTACTGCCTCTGTGTTCCGGTCATACAATGATAATATTGTGTTAATAAATGCAAATAAAAGGGAAATGCTCGCTGCAATATTACTTTCTGTTTGTCAGTGAAATTCGGAATAAAACAGCCATGTAAATGTTAGTAATTACATTTATTGATGTCAAAAAGACATTAGCTTACAATTATTTTATTTCATGTACTTAGTAAATACAATTAGCTAGATTTATTTTCATTACTGATACTGCAAAACATGTCACTGTAGAAGTCTCTGATAGGGCGCTCTTCACACTCACACACACGAACATAGGAGGACGATGCACGACACTGGATCTTATGTCTTAAACAATATGGTTACATTTGCCGGAGTCGCTTGTTTGGCCGCTGGCCGTCGTTCATGAACCCACCCTGCTGAGAAACGAATTACGATTAGATTACACAATTATTTTATTGTTCATGAATCATTATCAAATGTTTGGACTATTGACACAGCTAACTACTGTCCTCGCCACCACAAAACATGCTTACTTTGCGATCGACAAGCAATAAAACAAAGATAAAACTATAATCCTAATATCTAATTATATTGTACCAATTGAATACATGCAACCAAAACATAAATAATAAGCTTTATTATACATATTGTTCTTATTAGTATAAATATCGCGGTAATTAATTATTCCCTAGCGACAGAGCCGTTCTTTGGTTGTTTGTACACACTTGGCACATGGTAAGGACGCGCCATCATTACCTTGGACTTAACTGGCGTAATGTTTCTACAGGTAGTTCTGAAAAGAATGCACAGAATGTGTTAATGCACAGAGAATTGCAGAGATGGTGTGTATTCTGTCCTTTTTCCAGTGTCTCGTCATTGTACTGCATTTCTTTGCACATCTTTCTATGCACTCGTTTCTATGATATGGTTGTAAGCATGCAATGGACAAGCTTTCTTAAACATTATTGCAAAAAAATACAGTTCGAAAAATGTCAACATAATACTTTGTGGGAGGGAGAAAGTAATTGTATAAATAGAAATATGTAAATAGTATACAGTTGTATGGCATCATCTACCACATGAAATCGACACTATCGTAAAACAAAGATCAATAAAAAGCTTTGTACATTCAAGCAATGCTATTAAAATACAAGTGTGAAACAGGCATGCACATGAAGGGTTGCATCAATTAGTCTGTTACCCCCTTTATACACAATTTTGTTAAATACAGGCAGATATTGTGTAACATGTTGCAAATATTGTTTCTTGTAAACTTTTCGTTATTTTGCTGCTTTATTGGGTACAGAAACTCACATGAACTGTTAAATTAGATAGCATGCAAACATGCCTGGATATAAACACAATATTATTATCATTATCTAGAGGATGCAGTGTCGCTATCATGCAGTACTAGTAAGTAACATGGTGGGGATCTAATCAGGAGTTAGGCACAGAGTAATAAGCTAATAGAACACTTTATTTGTTTCTGTTCTCACATAGTCCACAATGTTTTAATTAAAACATACAGGGATATCACTAGTGGTAGTCAAAAAGAGCCTATATCAATTGTATACCACTTAGTGCTAGTTTATTGGTGTAATACAGAATAACTCTGGAATTTAATTGGAAAAACCATGGAGCTCTCAGTCCCATTTTAATTCATTCACAATTTTCCATATTTCTTTAGATTTATTACTCTGTATCCATGCGAGCAGTCGTGCTAGGGGCTAGTAGAGCTGTAGTGGTAGAATGAGTGTGTCTTACCGGGCGGCCCATGAAGCCTTGAGGCGGCATGTACGTGTTGACTGGAGCGAACCCTCCGCGAGGGAATGCACCGCCGCGACCTCCGAAACCACCACGGCCGCGCGCTCCTGTGAATAAAACAAGTATTATTTTAATAAGAAAATTATAACCTATAGTAAGCTAATCATTTGTTGTCAGCCGTCGTATAATCCGTCGATTTCCACCAAATTGCCACTTGCACATCGCATTGATTGGATATGAAAGCTGAAGGTCGATCTGAGCAGCGCACTATTGGAAAAATGTATGTCCAGCTATAGACATACATTTTGCTATAGGAATAGAGCTGGAATAGAGCTGATGACGAAGTAGATACATTACCTCTGAAGTTGCCCCTCGCGTTGAAGGCTCCGCCGCGAGCGCGGAAGTTGTTGGCGCGGTTGGAGTTGGGACTGGAGTTTGTGTTCGTGTTGGAGTTATTCCTGTTCTGTTGCTGGTTCGGGTGCTGCCTCTTGTTCTGCACATAAAATAACAATCAGTTAGATATAAGGTTTCAGTATTACTGTGATCATATGAAATACTTTAAAAATGTCCATTACTATTCATTGCGACCCGTAACCGACAAGCATATATGAAGACAAGAATTATGAATGTAGATGGCAGGAATCGAAAGTGATACGCCATCATCATAGTATTTGGCATTGTCTGTAAGTCATTACAGAAGTATGATCGCAATTTTTCTTTCAACTAATATGATTCAATGTCTAAAATATTCAAAAACACACCTTATTAACGTTGGCAGCGTTGTGTGCCTTCTGTTCGTCCTCGTCGCGGTACTTGGAGACGGTAACAAGGAAGCCGTTGATGCGCAGCTCGCGATCCAGCTTTAGAGCTTTGTCCACACAATCCTTGTCTTGGAATGTTACTCGCACTGTAAACATGTAAGAAAACATTAATATAATATCACTACAGAGCGACTCCTCAGAGTAAGTAAAAAAGCTAAAATGAAACCATAAATAGGTATGTATCATACTCTAATTTGGTCTCAGTGGAAATTACTGAACGAAGTTGATAAATACAATTTATAAATTAGAGGCAGAATCAATTCAAATAAGGCTTTTCGAATTTGATAAGATTATACCTATACTTTGTGAGAAATATGTATCAAATAAGTAAGACGACCTTATGAAACGCACGTCACCGGCCGACAGATTGGCGACGTATTATAAAGGGCAAAAGGAAAATAACAGCCAGCAAGACATGAAAAAAGATTAATGAATGTGGAAAATGTCAAAGACGTAGATAGGCACATTTCTTTTCCCCATAATCTCCGTTAATCCCTATAATGGTAGATACGCGTGAGAATTTACTCGAACCATTTATTTGTACGTAAAAAGCAGTTTGACGGCTTATTAAAACCGTTTCGTTCTTTGACCGCGCAATGAGTACGGCCACCTGCCACCCGCGCTTACGTCACGTGGCCTTTTCTCGTACTTAACCTAACCCTGAAACGACGCGAGCGGGAAATTATCTAACCCGACTGTAATAAAATACAGTAAGATAATATCATGTTCTATTTATTCTACAATTTTCAACAAGTAGCAAGATTTTTATCGCAAAACGTAGTAGTACCGTCATCGTTATCTCGATTTGTACGAGTAATTCTTTATCATTCATCAAGACTACAACTCTGTTGATTACAAATTCTGGCTAGGAAAACGTACATAATAAAATAAAACTTGTTTCATATCTAATTTAATAAGATCAGAGAAAACCAATCAAATACATATTGTAAAGACGTAAGACTACACATGACTGGCGGCTTCAAGACCACACGCGTGATCGAACCTGAATGACCAATGTCCGAGCTGCCAATCAATACGCTGTCCGAAGCACGCGTCATCATAGATTTATATTATTATTACATCGGTACGAATAGATCGTCAGATGAGCAAACATCCCAACACAGCTCGCGCCCCTCAACGATCCCGATCGCGCAGACGTGGGGACCGGGGAGATGCTAACAACATTCGTATATCTACAAACAAGTATACTCGGTACGGTAGCGCTTCAATCTCTACATCCATTTATAACCTTACGTCGATATTACACAAGCCAGATTCGCACAAATTAGAACAAGCCATGAACAAGGTTCTTATCACGGAAAACTACGTTCTCATAAACACAAGGAAACAATGTACCGGGCATTTCCGGTCATTGAACTCTGAATCTTTAATCTTTAATTGTCTTACAAAGATTCGCATAACAACAAAGTTTAGTGGCCACCGCGCCGCCTCTACTCTGACATTACGTGACTTATACAAGTATCACTCTGTACTTGGCCAGTAGACCTTGAAAACTATCGTAAACCCATAATGGTCAGTAAACTTTACACCTTACATCACCCTTTGTGTACATTCTATTCACAAATCGGTAAGATGATAGTGCTATCGTTATTTATATCAAAGTTGCTACTAAATCATGTTGGTACTCCAATGTTATCTGTTTTAGAAGTAAATACATATTGTTAATTACAATAAATTACTTTTGCGATTTTGTATAAACTACGGTTGTAGCTAGATTGACGGACGTGAGCGGGCGATAAGACTCTGTAGCGTTAACATCATCTCCCCTCGCATGGGGAGGCACCCCTCTAGCGCGCGGTATTCATTTACATATTCTACTCTAACACAACGTGGGTACCGATCGTGTTATAAATCAATAAATGAGCTATATACGATTCGCGATTTGCTCTTAGCTTATAAGAAAACTCAATAAATGGCCCACATACTACGTAGTACGTCTTGTCGAGCGGCGTGCGGCATGAATACGAGTGGTTAGGGGGCAACCCTCCTTACTCTGAAGGGGCCACGAACTTGTACAATGAACACTCGTCAAAAGAACGTAACACTTGTAATCTTGCTTTTGAGACGGGGCTACCTTTTGTGTATTTTGTTAAGAAATAAACAGGTGCCAAGAACGTGGCAAGTTGAATTGTGCAGTCCCCGTTCAGTGATTGTATGATCCGAGCGCGGGTAGCAAGTAATCAATATTTTTTCTCCCGCGTGGGCACCGCGGCACCCTTCCATTACTCTCCCCTTCTGTTGCCGCTAATACGGATGCCGTATATATTGTACGAGAGGGGTCGTTACCCCAAAGCGCATTGTTCAAGCGGACATTAGATAGATGTTACACGCGCACCCCCGATTACAGCTTCGATTTTGCCCGTGTTATAATATTCTACGGCTAATTAAAGGATTACGATTGAACCACTTTCTTGACTTCTCATTTTTTCATACTTTAACAAATGGTCTCTAACATTGTCCAGGTTCCGAATAAATACCCCTGTCACACATGCCTGGAAATTATCACTACATAGTATAAAACAAAGTCGCTATCCTCCGTCTGTTTGTCCCTATGTATGCTTAGATCTTTATTAAAACTACGCAACGGATTTTGATGTTTTTTTAATAGATAGTGATTTTTAAGGATACATGCATATTGCACCCGTGCGAAGCCGGGGCGGGTCGCTACATCATATAAATATTCAAGAAACTTACGTATTTTGTACTTGGTCTTGCTGAACTCGTGTATGTGTGTGACCTCGCCGCACTGCGAGAACAGCAACTTGACGTACTCAGTGCTGGCCTCGTAGGGCACGCCAACCAGCACGGCGGTCTCGGCGCGGGACTCCACCGACACGGTGATCCGGCTGCCTTCTAGCACGGTGCCCTCCTCGGACATCGCCTGCGTTTTACCAAACACTCAATATGCTACCAGACGAACGCATGCCGTGTATTGTGGGACGTTCTTCTTTAAAGAATTTATAGGAGTGTGTAAAAGTAAAAGTTAAGAAATATTAATTTTTACAAGACATGAAAAAATTTTGCTTGAATTTCAGATCAAGACCTCTCCTTGGAGAATTTAAGACATCGGAACATTAGAAATTCTTAAAATATGGTTTTAGCGACATAATGTTATAGAGCCTGGAGTAAATCAGAGCTCTAATGATAGTTTAGTAGCTATTAAACACAAGTACTAGCATCAGACATGTTCCACAATGCACGGCTCTAGCCATTACGATGAGTAAAGATAGAATCGCATAAACGATCTTCGGCCTGCGTAGCCGACTGACGAAGAAACTAGCATGCAACACATTATTTGGAGGAATTCTCTGAGCAACCCGCGACCTTTGTTTTTATGTTACAGGCCCATATACTCTTTTTGTCACGTTGTTTTGTTTTGTTGATGTTCGATTATGCTGCTAAAGAAATCAAGCTCGCCTTGTACATTTGGCCTATTTTCAGATGAAATAAATAACCATGGTTTTCCGATAGACGATAAACAACACGAGTTAAATAGGTACATTACGAATTAAAATGAGTGAATTGAATGTTAGTCGTAGCAAATAAAGTTATACAGTGTGATTTATAGATACAGTTTAAATTCAGATACGATAAGTATCATTTATATCTTTCAGATTAGAGAAGAGCACATTTAATAGTTTGCATTTTTTGCGTGCACATAGTACGACAGAACCAAACATAGTGGCGGCGCCAAAAGTCGGCATGGTAACCGCGTGAGGTATAGCAGAATGTTTAGTCTGTCAGATCGCGAGCTCGCCGCGGTCGCTCGTTATGGACATACGCATTATATTTAGCACGTACTGCTGCGAAATACATCTAGAGTTGTACTTACCAACAAGGCTGTGCAGTAGGTTTCATTCAGTCTAAACTCTCAGTCAACTCATTGTGCATAATCAAATCGTGAATCATGTTTGTTTACTTTATATTCTTACAACTTTGCAATTAACACAGCTAATGATTACAGTATCACTTTTTTATGAATGAAACATTGAAATTAGATAGTCACATGTGCAACAATAGTGTAGCAGACATGACACGCGAGAGTATGCGAATGACGCCCACTGCACCACACCTCAAACTTACCGGCTGCCACTGCAAGTACACATAAGGACAAGTCACAGTATGGACATGAGATATTCATCAGCTGATCTACTACATCACATCACATTCCAATAATAATTTAGATGTTTACTTGTGAATGGATACAAAGCTGCCAATCAGATGCATATAGTGTAGCAGACCAGCCTGTTCTAACATTCAAATAGTCACTCATTCTGCACATGACTTGAGGACAGTGGCAACAATTCTGTGTAATATACATAATTTGGAAAAAAAATAATCTTAGCCATAAGTACAGCCTCTTTTAGAAGCAGGCTAATAAAATTCTAAAATCTACTTATCACTTTTCAATATAAAATATAAAATGTTAATAAACTTTTGTTTACCTTTTCCAGAGACTCTTTGTTTTGGAATTCGACTATTGCCGATAATGTCGGAGTTGTGGTCAGTTCAGTTACAATGATTGGACCACGTCTAAAAAGAAAGAAAATTTGTCTCATTAATACTCCGTACAGTAGAGCCAGTGTTCCTGTGTTCTGAGTGCAGTTTGCTCCTCGAGAACACAACACACAATTATCTTAGGTATACTAATAAACTTCAATCATAAATACAAATAGTGATTCATAAGTTTATGACATTTCAGGGACTGATATTTGAATGTTGGCAAGTAATATGTCTCAGTAACACAGCAGATGTAGTGGACTAGTGTACTTACTTGACATTGGTAACTTCTCCGTGTTTTGAGAACAACTCCTTGAGTTTCTCCTGGTAGTCGAACAGGTACGTCGACGGGAGGTTCTCAACTAGTATTTTACCAGACTCCACTTTTTCCTCTTTCTTATCATCGCCGGCGGCATCGCCTTCGACGTTGTCCTGGCTCTGGTCGGCGTCCCCGCTGCCCTCGGCGACGCTGGTGTCACCGGCACCATCTTCGCTATGCTCGATTTGTTCAGCTTCGCCGTTGTTGTCCTCCGCCTCTACGGGTTCGGAGGTCTCCATCTCGGGTGCTGGTTCTTCTACAGCCTGGGCGGCGGCCTTAGCCTTCGCTGCTTGGTTTTTAGCGCCACGACCTTTCTTCTGCGCTACCATCGTGAATGTCCAGCTGTTGATCACACAAGAACCGACTCAAGCAATCAGGCGTAAGTTCCGTCACGCTCTCACAGTGGCAACGTTTCCCGCCATATCTATTTTTTGCTAAAACTTATCTACATTACTTGGCGCCTATTCTCAGATCTCAAGGGCGTAGTTGCTAACGCGCGAAACATCATATTACGCAAAATCACAGAAAATATACGCCTGTTTAGTAGATGAGCTAATTTTAACTATGTGTAACATCACAGATAACGGTAAATACATCATAACAAGCCATACGCGCCATGAAGCATGCCTCAAATTCGAGTGGAAAATTCACGAACCCGAAGCGTTACCTCGTAATAACTTGTTACTATGGTATTTTGCAATCCTAGTGCCCTATTTTATCATATAATTGAAAGTTTTACTCACCAATCGTGTATTAACAGGTAAAATCAATGATATCACAATTCCACAAGGAAAAGACGCCAAACTATATGCAATAATAACACGAAACCGGCATCACGCAAGCGCATCCGCCATTAAATAGATTTTAAAAAGTGAGGTTAGCAGTGTTGCCATATCAAAAATTGTAGTTCTAGAACTCTGAGAAGTGTATCCGAATTTTTATTAAAAACATTCAGAATATGTTAATAAAATCAATGTATGAGTAATTTATTTACGTAGATAGACACGTAGACATTTATATTTGACTGAGTTTTCATAATTATTTCATATTTCCAATTAACGTCGTTATCGAACGTCGCATCTGTTCTTGGATCGTGCAATGTGCCCTCGAAACCTACTCTGCCTACGACCATTACTTGCCGCTTACCTACCACTTCATCTGACTTATCTGCTCGGGTTTTTTTTTAAGGGAGAAAATCATCAAATGACTGCTCCCGCCTGAACTGCTCGGGGGTGGACTGGGCTACCGATACATAATTATGTACATACCTAATATGGTTATAAATATTTATATATATGGGTATGGAATACGTAATATAACGACATTTCCTAATATAGCTGTTTTTAGTACATTTATCATTAAACATGAATTTATTATAAAAATCCTCAGTTCTAATCACCTAAACAAAGTATGAATGAACAAAGTAAATAAAGTAGACCAAAGACCAAAATGCATTTGAATTTTGAATAGATTAGTTAGATTAATAATCTGTGGCAAATATTTACTTTACCGATTGCAGGACAGATGGCAGTAGTAGGCCTATGTACTTAGACAGCTGCTAAAGTACAAATTTACAAAACATAACCTCAAAAATATTCATAGTACGTTCGGATTATCATGTGGTATTAATACTTTTGTTTTCTTTTATAAGTTAAAACGGCTTGTTAGCTATAAAAATGAAATCCAAGTCATTTGACTTAAAAGTAAATTCCATTGAAAAAAATTCATTGGACAGGACAGCTGATTTTGCTGGCTTTTATAAATCTGCAGCTGAAACGACTAAACTTGGCGCGGAGAAACGCAAATCTGATGGAGTCGTGACTAAAGAAAATATAAAAACGAAAACGGTCAGCGTAAAACCAGAAACACCGATTAAAAACAAAAAGCGGAACAAGCAAGAGCCGATAGATATATCGCAGATCAACATTGATGGCTCTACTTTAGGCACAAGTTTTCCTCGAGCCAATTCTGCTCATGAAATTAAAACTTCCACTCCTAATTCTAATGGTAAAGGTCACGAACAAGGTGGAAAAGTCAAGTCGATAATGAAGAACAAACCCCCAGTTGAACAGTCTCCAGATAGTGCCAGGTCTCAGTTATCCGGCGGAAAACCCAAGAAAAGGAACAAGTCTGTCAGCTTCATGTTAGATGATCACGAGGAGGTAGTAGTAAAGAGGACCAAGTCTGACGACTCCAAAATTAATCAAAAACTTGACTCCAATGCAACTATTGTGAAAGAAAGGAATAAGAATGTCAAAAATATAAAAAAATATCAACAGTCTGAGAAGGAGAATAAAGCTGCTGAAGTTAACAATCAGAACAAGGAAGTTGATAATAGTAAAGCTACACTTGAAAAAAAAACAAGTAAGTTAAATAAAGTAAAAAAAAATATTGATGTCTCTCCTTCAGGAGATGCTAAACATGCTCCCCAAGAAAGTAGTAAAGAAAAAAAGAAAATAAAAAAAGTAAAGAAACAAATCTCACAGCAAACAGATACAGATGTCCACAACAATGAGGCATCTGCTGAAGTTAAAACAAAAAAAGGTAAAAAGACAAAAACTAAGTCTCCCCCAGCTGAAACAACACAGGCTGAGGGAGAGCCGGCACCTAAATCCCGCAAAAAAGAAGCCAACCCTGACATTGCTGAGGACTTGGAGAACTTGAGCATTGGAGACAACGCACATACACTGTCAAACCTGCTTGATGAAATGACTGTAGTGGATAAAGAAAAGCGGAAAATGTTGAAGAAAAAGTTCAATAAGAATAAGAAACCAAAAGGCCCTCAGAGTTCCAAGAAAGAGAATGTGGAGAAGACTGAAGAAGTAAAGGAGAAGATAAAGTGGAAGAAGAGGAAATGGAACAAGGATAAGAAGGGAGAATTGAATGAGGATGGCTTGTCCAACACACTGGTTGTGGAGCACCTGCCCCTGTCTATGATGTTAAACTATAAGAAGATACTAACTGAACATTTTGTTAAGCATGGAGCTATTAAGAAAATTGGGTAATGCATAATATGTAATACTGTACAAAGAAACTAAGTTGTTTTCAATAAGATAGTGTCTAAGTGTGGTATTTCATTTCAGTATTGCAGAGGTGTACCCCACAGAAGAGTCGAGGCCTGTATTTACCACGACAATCAGCTTCCAAAATGATGCTAGTGCTGAGCAGGTAACATTTAACTATATTTTACTATCTTCAACAGGTTTCATGGTTGTATCATAATATAATTATGTAGATACAATTTAATAACATTATTTTTAAACCCCCAAATAAATTACTTTAAAACAAAAAGTAAAATATGTCTGATTAGACTAAGCTAAAATGACTATGAGGCTAAGTAAGACAGGTTCCATAGTCATATGAGACTCGCTTTTTGAAGACCCACTTGTACAGAACGTTGTTTTAATTTTCAGGCACTAGAAGAAAATAACTCGTATCTGGAAGGCAGCCGCATCCAGGTGAAGCGGCCACTCCCCGCTACACAGACGACAGTCGTCGTCCGATCGTATGCAGAGCTCACTGACCAGACAATATGTACCACCTTCCTCGGCGCCGGCAGAATCAGGAGCATACGACATTTAGTCAAGGGGAAGAAGAGTATGGGTATGTTTTGATTACATATGTACAACTATGGTTTTGTTCCTCAAACGGAACAAACCGCAGAGGGTGCATTTTAGTTGTAAGTTTCACTTTTCGCCACTAACAAGAGCCAGGTAATAGAGAGAGTCTCTATTACCTGGCTCTTGTAATAACTGAGTTTTCGAATATATTTTAGTACTACACCCACTATGCGAATCGTATTTAAAACCCAAAACAAAAGGAGCAGTGCCTAATATAATATTAATTTAAATTTAACTTACAGCAACAGCATTTGTTGAATTCGACGGACCGTCAGCTGTGGAGCGCGCAATCAAGTTAGCCGGTGATACCAAGATTGGCGGGAAGAAAATTCACTTGTCCAAGTTCGAGATCCGTGCCAAGAAAGTGAAGAAAGAAAAGAGTGAAGGAGATAGTGCTGCTGATGCAGACAGCGAGGACTCTAATGATTAGATTATAATATCTCCATTAGTTTAGTAAAAAAGCCAAGAAATTTGCATGTACAAGTGGCATTTAAATAATACTACAACACTGCCAGTATCCACTATCCACAAGATAGCCTTTGGACCTTTTCATTTTATTCATTTTCGTTCCCTTCTGGATGTTAATATAAAAGCGTGAGCGTGACTTTTAATAGAAAAAAAAGCAAAAAATGTGATTCAATTCTCGCGTTTTACTCTAAAACTCATTTTCATATCAAAAGTGGTTTATCAATTAGTGATGAAAGTTTTTGTTATCTATATTTTTATACATTTTGGTACTCAGCTCGAATGCTCAAACAGCTACTCAATTTTAAGATGGTGTCAAAACACAAAATGATAGAGATAGCGCGATATTATTATTCTAAAATTGTGTAGCATTTTAGTATTTGGGCGAAACTCGTTTATTACGGTTTTTAACCTACACTATTGAATGTACTTTTAACCCTGTTTAACCAATGTGTTATACACAGTATATTTTAATATACAATTAAATATCAACATTATTGTTGTTATAATAAAGTTTAAAATACAGTCAATGACTGGAATGTTAGCCTTCATGTTACAATAAATGTAGTTTTTAACCTTTTAACAATAAGGTCTATATCCCAGAAAGTACTATGATAGTATTTTTGTTCATTATTATTATGATTAATTCCGTGTGCGCCCTCTTTATGTATTTTATGACGTTTCCTAATGTGTTGATAATGTTTTAAATTGTTTGTATATTAAGTCGATATTATGTTGAAAGGGTTGCAGCACGGGTATTATGGAATATTAATGTTAGATGTATGAAAAATAAAAAGTTTTGAGTGACGAATATCGTGAAATAAACTGACTCGTTGAATTTGAATGTTGTTTTTCATTCAACTTTACTTAAGACCTTTATTATCTTGAGATCTGCTTTTTTTTCTAGATCTTCAAAAAAAACAGCCAATGAGACTTCATATTTATCTTTAGTTTTTAACTCGTCGAGTACCGTATTTATAGACACAATTAAAGAACAATAGGTTGCGGTTACCGGTAACCGCTTGGTGTTTGACAGTTTAAAGAGAGTCCCCAATAGTTATAAAAGTACATTCATAATATTTGTAATACCAATATAAAGTAATGTTCATTTCATTTTGTGAGTAAAATAAAATGCGTAAAAAATAATCTGTACGAGCAAAAACTATGTTTCCGCCCGGGATCGAACCGGGGACCTTCTGCGTGTTAGGCAGATGTGATAACCGCTACACCACGGAAACTTGAAAGCAAGTGGCAAAACTATGAAACCGTATCTACACGATGACTTTCATTGAAAGAAAGAAAAAGAAACCATTTATTTTGCAACTAATGATGTTTTTATAGAAAAAAAAACACGCAAATAATTTGAAACAATAATTTATTGTGTTCTTAGAGTTAATAGTTATGCGTTAAAATTAATTATACTGTATACACAAGATTCTTAGTGTTCCGACATTAAGCTATGGTCTTTATTACAATTAATTATTTACAATAATTACGAACAAATTATATTTATGTCTCAACACGACTCGGTTACAACTATATCGTACAAATAATACTTTTAAAACATACATTATTACTATCACTTAATGATGTATTGAGATAATACAAAAATATTTCATTTATATCAGAAAAATAACGTCCATTTTGACCGGTGCGCCTGCGTCGCTCTCCCTGCGCGACTTGGTAATAACGTAATTTACCAAATAACGATGAATATTACCCTCGGCAGGTCCAGTCTAATACGTAAATGTGATTTTATTGCATACCAACTTGGTTTTGATGTCGAACATGATTGTAGGTACTATGTACGGTTTCATAAGACTGCTTTAGAACATCAAGATATTATCGTCCTTACACGCTAGCAAACACCGCTCACTTTCGCTCAGATGCATGCAAATATTTATAAGTAATCTACTATAAAGGCGAGTTTTACTATAATATTTCATTTTCTTTAGAATTGGTTAATTTGCGATGATTTTTCTTACATCTATCCTGTACAGTTATGAGACACAATCGATAATATTGTGCAAGTAGAGCAACCAATAACTTTTAAATGATTTTTTAAAATAATGCGTCACGTTTTGAGCGACTTACAATTTTTAGATCGCATCAACTTTTGGATGGAAACAATAATAAATAATTTTCAATAAATTATAAAATAAATAATGATAAATACATTCCGAGATCGTGAACATATCGACAGTAGAACCCTATTCCGACTGACTGCAGTGACTGCTATGACCAATCTGACCACCAAAATCATTATCTCAACGTGACACAATTCTGAGATGGTAACATTTAAGATCGTTGTCGCGAACATAAACACATCCATACACGAATAACAGTAAAAGTACGTGAACAAAATAAATAAGGATTAACCGCAGGAAATGTTTAAGGTAGAATAGAAAAAGGATCTTTACCTTGCACCAAGGCAATCACGATCATAGGAATAAACAAAACAAAAGATCACTTCACTTGGCCAGTGGACACAGTCAATAATGATTTTAGTACAGAACTGGGTCATAGCGTCGCAAATATATCAGCTTGTTCAAAGTCCCAGCTGATTTTTGACTAAGTTAAACCAACTGTTGAACAGCATCGCGTTTGAAGCTCATTATCTTGCGCTCTTCAGACAGCCATCACAACTCCCCGATAGAAACTATGTCGTAAGCCACACATAAAATACTGTCTCACATTTGTCCTTCGGCATTATCACATTTTACACTGAAATAATTAACTATACACGAATTGGTTTCAAACAGTTCGATATTCTAGCTAAGGCCGCTATAACACTGCAGTTCACTAGTAGACTAGTCGAGATGTTTCCTTCGAAAGATCTCACTGGTCTGATAGAGAACAGTCTGTGATGCACTGAAACGTGAACGCGAGCCGAGCATTACGTGTCGCGTGCCTGAGACTAGGTGTAGTGTGATACAGACCATGGCTAGTGCTAACCAACTGCCGCAGACTACAGTACTACGCAGCGCGCACGGCGCCGGCCCCGGCGGGTGCGCCGCCAGGCTAGTCGAAGCCCTTCAGCAACCCCTACGGGTGCCGCTGGTTGGGCACTGGGATGCTGCAACAATAAATGTGTGTAGATATTAACAACACTTCATCTCAATAAATCAGTGATGCTTGACAACAAACTATCGGCACATCATACATACCCGTAAAACGCCGGGAAACTGGTGTCGGTGTTGAACTGGAAGTTGACCGGTGTCTTGGGCGACGCGCAGCTGTAGCTGAGGTAGTCGTCGGACGCATGCAGTTGTCTGTTGAGGTTCGGTTCGGAAGCACTGCGCGTGATCTTGGGCATGGCGCGCAGCATGGACTCTAGTGAGGCCAGGATTTGACGAAAGAGAGGACGTTGCTCTCTGTCGAACTTGATACAGTCCTCGAACAGACGCTTCAGGGCCTGTGGTGCGTCCTGGCGCACTCGGCGAGCGTCAGGTCGCAGGAAACCTCGCCCGACCATCCAGAGGATCTAAACATACACATTTAATCAGAACTTAGCCGCAAAATTATTTTGTTTTCAAGACAAAAGAACTGTAAATTTATTTTACAGTTCTTTTGAACTGTAACGATTATTTCCTTAACCTTACCAAGTATATAACTAACATTTACAGAGGAAAAATATATATTCTTTGTATTACCTGATCCTTGTTATTAAGATGTGCATAAGGCAGTTCCCCTGCCATGAGTTCGTAGAGCACGATTCCGTACGCGTAGACGTCGGAGCGGAAGGTGTACGGCGCGGGTTCCTCCATGCGAATGACCTCGGGGGCCATCCACAGGATCGAGCCCGTCGGCTGCTGCCACTGGATACCTCCCGCTGTAGATGTGTCTGGAATACCATTATATCACAAGTCAAATCACTTATTTCAATAAGAATAGTCAAGCTATTGGATCATCCCAAAGTATAAAATACATTGTTTTATGTATATGAGTCCTCTGCTTGTTTATAATGGAACAAAATGCTACTCACCGGACCACCGCACCTTGGCCGTGGCTAGACCGAAATCTCCAATTTTAACAGACCAGTCATCTCTCAAGAATATGTTGTTTGATTTCAGGTCCCTGAAACATCACAGTTCACACATGACACACTGATAACAAATATAGTTTTATGAAAATAGTGAATTATAATGTTTTCTATATAAGCAATTACTTGATGGATTGACTACAGATAAAAAGTTACCTATGAATAATATTCTTAGCATGCAAGTAGTCCATGCCCTGCGCAGTCTGCCTCGCGACGTCGATGAGGTAGAGCAGTGGGAACGGAGTCTCGAGCACGTGCAGGTGCTGGTACAGGGACGAGCCCTCGCACCATTGCGTCACTATCGCCAGCGACGGCTTCGACACGCACCCCATGAATAGAAGGATGTTGCAGTGCCGGGTTTTGCGGAGGACTGCCACCTGTAGGATAACACATTGTTATAATGCCATTTTCAACTGTAAATGTATTCGTACATGTAGCAGATGCATGGTAAAGTCAAGAAATTGTAATCTGTAATCTTTTGTAATAGATAGCACTTGAAAACCTATTTCGTAGGAATTGAGGCGCCTCGTTTGCCGCGGTTTTATAAACAAGATCATGAATGAATATACGGTGTATTATGTATTGTTTTGTTATCATGTACCTCATTCTTGAAGGCCTGTAGCTGAGCAGGTGTAGGAGTCTTCACGTTGAGGGTCTTCACAGCCACGGGGCCGTGCCAGTGGGCCTTGTACACTGTTCCGAAACTGCCAGACCCTGTACATAAACATATTGGTTTTAGCATGATGTTAAGACATGCAAAATATCCTAGACTTTTTACGGGATATGGTATGGGGCACCCAAGCTTTCCTTAGCTTGGTTGCCCTTGGTTTCATCACCTCCTGGTGATGGTAAGCGATTATGTAACGCCATTCATGGAGATTGCGGGTCTCCATGAGCCGGAATCTCGCCATCAGAGGAGTTACAGATAAGTTGCCGGCCTTCTTGGTAGTTGTGCGAAGTGATAAGTTAGTTGTGACTTACCTATCCTAGCCCCGATGAGTATTTCGTCGGCATGTATGACCCAGTCGTCGTAGCTCTCTCGCGGTGACAGCGCGTTCTTCCACGACTCGTCCGCCGAGCGCGCACGCGCACGCCGCGGCCTGAGCGTGCCCGTCGGAGACGCCTGACAACGTAAAAATATGGTTACGTATAAACGCTAACATAAAAGAAACTTTAGGTTATTAAAGTGTACCCCCTAGTCAGTATCGAGTTTTCTGCTTAGGAAGGTTCAAATAACATCCCTTTCAAATTTTAGGTTAACTTAAAAACAGACAACAGTCATATTCGTTAGATCATGGTGTTCACAATTGTCAGGGACTTGTTTAAATCTAATTTAAGATAGAGGTTGAATGTCGAACAAGGGGCAGATTTTCGTTGGAATGATGAACTTAACATTTACTCATTTAGCAACAATAGTAGATGATCAATTAGATTGTGAATAAGACTGGTATACAGTGATAACAACCTGTGTACTCTGGCTGTGCTGCTGGTCTACGGCCTTGTCTTTGTCATCCTGTTTGTGTCTGCCCGAAGTCAGGTAGTTCGAGGACTGCGGCGAGTTGTTGTTACCCTGGTACACGAGACTTTGTTATATTATTGAGAACTTAAACACATACAACAGTCCAGCGATTTACTTGTAATCTCATAGTAAGTTACAAATGAGATTCCATATGCGTAGAATATTAAATGAATTGATTGAGAATAATTGTATGCCACCACAGAGGAAATCTATGGCATTTACCATTCTTAACACTAAAAATAATTAGTCAAAATGTATTACGTAGTTCACTAATGTATGACAAACAGTCGCACAGTTCTCACTTTCAGATATTGATGATGATGATAACTACTTAATAGTTTGAGACATTCGTTTCACGCGCAATTGCGTACAAATTTCTACACATTAATGGACTTCATTGCAACTACATATTACAAGCAAAAGAAGTTAATATTTTTGATTCAATAGATTATCTCTTTTTTTGTATTCTAACTTTCGTGAGACATACTAAATAAATTATTATGTTTTCGGCTTACTCACGTAAATCGTAATTATTTGACGAGGAACTCGACTAGTGAATATGAGCCTCTAGCATGGCTTGAAACTAATATTTAGATTATCTCTTCTTGGAATGTTAACGTTTTTCATATAAGCCTTAAGTTGCAAACTTTATAAGATTTGTTTCATATTTCTATCATTCTAACGTGTATTAGATCACTCTGTAAAATAAATTACGCTATAATTATACCTGGTTATGCTTCCTCTGATGTTCAGCGAGGGTCATAGGTCTCTGCACCATGTTAATGCAGACATTTGGAGCGGAGTTGGATCTGTCCTGCTGGTTCAAGGAGCGCGGGTGCTGGTGCCTGCACAAACAGTAAATGTAAATCTTATGCCCATGTCTTTGCAGTGCAAAGTGCTATGTAGGAAATATTTTACACTGTGGAGGAGTAGCTTGAGTATACTCATATACAGTAGATGTGTGTGTAGGGCAAGTATATGAATATAAAGCTTTGTATAATACATTGGTTATTGAGGTATTGGTTTAATTTGGGACCGAAAACAAACACAAAAGGTTTTGCAAACCACACAAACATAACATAAAATTTACACAGCTATCATTTAACTATTGATTAGAAGATAAATTACTTGGTTATAAGGTTTAGAAGGCACTAAACACTATACAGAAGCACCAAGTTAGCAACGCATTCTGACACTATTTTGTACTATAATTGTCGTGAAACATACATTAAATAAATTATAAGGTGTACCCAAGTAACTGTTTGACAAAGTAACTCGAAATGTTCCTCATGACTATGAGCCCCAAGAGTGGCTTGAAACTTGTCGAGCATATGGCAAACAGTTACATAAGTAAGCCGTATCACAATAGAATTCTAACATTATTACTTAATGAAAATTCTCTACAAACACTTTATTAATTATTGATTTTTTTAAACAAATGTAATACTGTAAATATTGCACTATACAAATAGCGGTTTAATTACAGACTAACTGATATACAGATAGTTGTTTATCGTAGTAGATACAAGAGCCAGTCTAGGAAGAAGGGAAGGTACAATTGAGTGCTATAGACAAGTATAACAGTATGTGTGTATGAGTTGGTGCATACCTGACTGAGTGACCGATTTAGAACAATTACTTATATTCATTATGTAGCTACATACAGTCTCGTTTCACCTGTCTCCCATTGGTGTAGACAGAAACAATGGAAATTTCGTTTTCGTGATTATCACTTTCGTTTCTTATACGATTTCAAATAATACTAAAACCGTGAGACATACTAAATTACCTAAAAATCGCGGGTAACTCTAAATAGTAGGCTACGCGACATCGCCGCGACAGCACACGATGCTCATGGGAAAGAACCCCTTTCTGGTTCGAAACTAGTAGAGCTTTTCTCATACTGAGAATTCACGTGAATAACCCGCGATTTTTAGTTAATCCATCATCGTACCACAAGACAATCCGCGAAGCGTCACCGATTCATGGTAGATGTTCCGCCCACACGCACGAAGCGCTTTGCTTCAAGCTTCCTTGTGCGTACTGCTAAAGAGTGGAATTCTTTGCCAGAGTCTGTATTTCCTGAAGGGTATAACCTGGGAGTCTTCAAGGCCCGAGTGAATAGGTTGCTTATGGGACGACGTGCTCCAACGTAGACCGCATCATCGCTTACCAACAGGTGAGATAGTGGTCAAACGTCGCCCCATCAATTATAAAAAAAAAAAAAAAAAAAAAAAAAAAAAAAATATTAAAATCGTAAAATTTTTAACCAGTAACGTGATTTGAAGCAAAGAGCTATTGTTATTACGAATTTATTTTTGTGTGTGAATTTCTAAAATAAAGCTCGTTAGTGTCACTGCGAAGTCTTCACTGTACAAAAACAAAATTCTCACAGTGCAAACTTTTTAAGCACAACGCAGTTATTTTAGAGTCGAGATATTGGTGAATTTAATGGCAATAAATCGAATATCGTTTATCTCATCAAGTATGCCCCAACCTCATCGTGTGTGTACAACTCGTGTAACTGTGTGAGTGTAGTGTTCGAATGCGTTCACAAAAGCAAGCGGTGCCAATCTAGTGACATAATATTCACCAGTGGACATCAAACTCCTTCATTTTCTTTGCTGGAGAGATAGACCTGCACATCATTACATTGCTTAGTATCTCGCCTTCTTTATAACAACTTAGACATGTCATAATATATGTAATTATGTAATTAAACACATTATAAAGAGCTGATTATAATCCCAATATTACTTCTGACAAAACTCAAAACCACTTGCGCAAAACAACATGTTTTTTGCGCAAACTGGCGCTATTTCCGCATGTACTTACTAAGAACTTATATAAGAAGATAGTAATACTAACTTGCTCTGGTCCGTTCTAGAGATCATGTGATGGTATCCGAAGTGTGGAGGGAAGTGCAGAATGCCAGCTTGTGTCTCAGGGTTCTGTGCCAACAGCGCTGCGTAGTACGTGTCCGTCATACGCACCTGGTTTGGAGACAAAGGGTAACAATATTATCTATAGTACCTGCCGCTTTGGTAAAAAGATTGTAAGATCGACTTATGTGACAAGTGTTTTTCGTACATTTTCGGAAGGCTTACACACTATGAAATATTGACTGGTACACTATACAATAGCCTTATTATACGACACTAACAACATAACTGGTGAAAAGTAGTTGAAAAGTACTTTACCTATTATTAAGGTACAGTACTTTTCTTCTACTTCTAAGATATTATAAATTTGGATCGAGAATAACGTGTATAGTGTCGTCGAAATACTAATGCTACCACTTCACCTGCCCAATTTAAATTATTTTGAATAAACTTCACATAAAAATCACTTATGATAGAATTGCCTGCATATTGATTGGACTTGAATTCATTAGAATGCTTGCATTATTATATTAAGTAACAGTTGTCTACCACTCAAATGGGAAAGTTGGAATCAATGAGTGGACAGTAGACAGGTGCTGAATAATAATGTTAATGGATAGTGCAAAGATGATCAAATTATTATGGTATATTATGGACAGATTGGGCAAGGAATTATAGGAAAGCCAAAGGATTGTGTGATAGCATAATATGTAAAAGAGGTAAAAGGAAAAATGAACTTTATTCCCATTTTTCTTATCATAAAATGTTTGAATACCTGATGACAGATACTGGGCACTTTGTCGGCGCATCGCTGGTGGAACTTGAAATTGCACTGCGAGCAGTAGAAGCCGTTGAACAGCAGTCGCCTACAGCACTCACAGAAGGCGAGTGTAAAGAATGTCTTCCGAGTGAACTGGTGCGATATGTGGGACATTATCGGGAGCTTGTCCAATGTCCGTACTGTCACCTGTTGACACACAATATTGTACACATGAAAGCCTACACCAACATTCATTCGTGACACTTTTACATCCAGAACAGAATAGAATAACACTGCACGGTTGGCGCGGTGGCTGGGCAAGCGGCTGCCGCGCAACATACAGCAGGTTGGATTTCCGTACGGAGCAACTCTGTGTGATCAATAAATTGTTATATCTGGTCTGGCGGTGTCACGTGTATGTGAACTTGTATGTTTGTAAACACACCCATGACACTGGAGAAAATCCTTGCGTGGGACGTTTTTTTAAAAAAACAAAACACATATTATAATTCTGAATACCACTGTGAGTGGGAATCAAACCCACATTTAAGTAAATTACCATTAACTAAGTAGTGTTAAGAATAAATAATTAAATAAACAAATATTATTTTCATAAGTAATTTACAAATTACAAATCAACAAAATGTATTAATAACTCTCTGGTATTACAATGTACAATTATAGAAGGTAAACTTGATAAGATACTTTGAATTTCTATTTCACAAACACATTTTTATTTAAATTACCTGTTAGGTACAATTTTGTTTACTTATTACACCAAGTAATCAGTGGACAGAAATATGTCGTTAAATAATACTCTCCATCCTGTATTTCCCTGTATATGGTTTTGTTTGAAAAATAAATTCCAACTATATTAATTTTAAATGAGGCAGCTCTTGTGACAAAGAATTCCTTCAGAGAATGCCACCATTCTTGGTCTTTACTTTATAAAAATATATATTAAAAAGCAATTTTAAAAAACTGCACATGTAAAACCTTTTTTTTTTTTTTTTTTTTTTTTTTAACCCCAAGGTGGGAAATCCTCATGGAGCCCCCTCGCCTGGGGAGGACGAAAGGGACTGTCAGACTCTTACTGACTAAAACCCACCCCGGTGTCCCGTCTCACACGTGGGTACGAGGGTGCGGGAGTCACATTCATCCGCAGCCCCCGAACTCGTGGCGGCCTGCCTTGCCAGGCCCCACCTCAAGATGCACGGAGAAGTGAGGTGTTGGTCTTCTCCGTGCAACGTCTCGGAGGCGCGCGTGGACACAACGCGCGCCACCGTCTCGGGTCCTTTACAACGGGATGACGGGGACTTCCCCAAGTCCACCGTCCCCGGACCCATTTAGGGGGGTCGAAAGAGAGTAATTTCTGCTCTCCTTCGACGCCCGGTGCGCCTACTGCGGGAAGGTAGAGACATTGCAATTTCCCTTTCCCTCTCCGCAGCCTCCTTCCGCGACATTACATCTTCGCAGAAGGACACCACTGCATCCCACGACTCTGCACTGCCGACCATTTTTTGGACAACAGTCGACAATGACAGATCGTCACCGATCTCTAATATGAGGGCACGACGCGGCTCATCCCAAGCCACGCACTCCATAAGGGTGTGCTGCGCCGTATCCTCCTCACAATGGACGCAGTGATGGCACCGAGCATTTGGCTCCCTGCCTATGCGACACAGGAACTTTCCGAAACAGCACATGTAAAACCTAACTCAAATAAAACAAAGATGACACAAATCATCTGAAAAGTTGTCATCACTTCATAGATGAAGTTTAAAAAAGTAATCAAATTGTTTCAGACTTTCAAGTCTCTGAAACAAGAAAACTTTATAGCCAAACAAGCATCCAGATCAAGGGCATAAACAAATCAAACAAAATCAATGACATTGTAAAGCAATCATTTCTAATTACATTTGAATTTTATTAAAGTTGAATTGGGTAATTTAAAAAATAAACCCTTTATTTCAATTAATTCAATTCAACCTGTGGGGACATTTGAAGCATTAAAATAAAATCAATGGTGTTCCTTAGTCTCTGCCTACCCCAATGGGAGACAGGCGTGAAGTTATGTATGTATGTATGTAAATAAAATCAATTTTCTATCAACGAAGCTAGGTGGCACTTATTTTTTTATATTTACTCACATTTATTTTATAATTACTCATATTAATAATTATTTTATATTTACTCATATTAGAAGCATTTACTACAATGCTTATCAAGGATTTTCACATTTTTCATTAAAAAGCACACAGGTGGCTTGCATTGTTTTAGATGTTTGAATACAACCTCTCTCTCTCTATTTAACAATTATATCACACTCCAGGAAGGTCTACTATTCTGTCATTAATATTATACATTCCACTCTCTGATTCTTTCAACCATTACAAGAATTGAAATCCTATTATTTTTGTTTGGTCACTGATTTTATTCTTATTAGACTCTTTCATATTTTCAACTCAAAACTATTGTTATTTATCTTATTGTTGTACAGTTAAGAAGTCTTCTGTAATATGTAACAAACAAAATGTACTACTATAATCATTATTGCTCTAAAATCAAATAGCTTTATTATTTGTGCAAAACAACTAGTTTGACATCCTACCAGTAGCTATCCATCTAAACTTCCTCACAAACTTGTTGTCTACAGGGAGACCAAGGACAAGTGGTGTGACCCAACAGGCTGCAGCTGTGTCACAGACTTACCATCACCAAAACAAAACAAACTACACTGCACTGACCTCCTCGGCGTCGATCATAGTAATGTCGATGTCCCAAGGTATCACTAGGTCATTGCCTGTCCGCACCACTTCACACATCTCACAAGTCAGGTTGCGCAGCTTCAGCGCCTTGGAGAGCGCGTCCCGCAGCGTCACGCCCTCCTTCACCTGCACACTCGTCCGCTGCTGGTTCGGCAGGTGCGCCCGCAGGAACACCTTCGGTTGCCGCGTAAGAGTATCGAACTTTTTACTGTCATCCTGCAACGAGTACTCCTCACTTCTGTCCGGCGATTCACACTGCAGCAATTCACGTAAAGTTCGTTCTCGTAACTCTAAATTATGCAACTTCGACGTTAGCTCCTGGTATTCAGACAAATACAATGACGGTGGATGCTGGAAACCAGCAAATTTTGCATTCAGAGCGTCAATGTTTTCACGGGTTACGTTTATGATGCTTTGAATGTTCCTAATTTCATACGTCGGGTCCGCTACGTCGTCACTGTCCGTCGACGTCGACATATTATCACTATTGAGAGATAATGCAGGTATATTTCCATTAATATTTCTTGAACAATTTTCTTTCTCTCTAGTAACTGCCATTTCTTTTCCTAATATTTTTTTTTTATTTTCTGCGCAGACTCGCGGCGCAAGACAAGAATGTTGTTGCCATATTATTTTTATATTTCTTCAGTTTTTATATTGGTCATACCGGTCATACAAAAACGGTATCATCAACTTAATCCGAGTTTTTTATATACACTTACGGCTTACCATATACAACAGTACAACACTAATACTACTCCAGTTAGTGACTAGACTTGAGATGGATTATTCATGATCAAAATGGATAAACACTGAGTAAATATTTGCTATTTGTGCACTTTTTTTGAGAAATACTCGAGTTGAAACGGATAAACACTCAGTATTTACTCGATATTTATCCATTTTGAATATTTATCCGAAAAATCACCCAAGTTACCGAATACGTTGTTTCAAAGACAGACCTCGTCTTAAAAAAATTAATACCGTCGCAGGACCGCAAGGATACAGGAAAAGGATTAGAACAGCCTCTTTTAACGTCCTTGAAATAGGACTTTAGTCAAGGTGCAAAATAAAGAAGTGTGTATTCTAAATATGGCCAATGGCCGTGTTTGCAGATTTTCTCTAATCATAAGTTCGATAAATATTTACTACAGATAAAAATGTATGACTGCCTCGTTGGCCGAGTGGTCGCAATTGCGACTGCCGAGCAAGGGGTCTCGGGTTCGATTCCCGGGTCGGGCAAAGTATTACTGGGTTTTAAAAAATTCTCAGTAGTAGCACGGAGTCTGGCACTGTGCCCGGTATATGGCAATAGGCTCACCCCCTATTACATGGGACTCATAACATAAATAGTGAAAAGTGGGTGTTACATTGTACAGTGGTATAATGTGCACCTCTGCCTACCCCTTTGAGGATAAAAGGCGTGATGTTATGTTATGTTGTTATGTTATGTAAAAATGTATTTCTGAACGAAAAATTCATTATCAGCAATCTGTCATGTAAACGAAATTTGACAGTTAATGATCATGTTTTTGTTGATATTTTTCTAGTAATAAATATAAAAATCACTAAAATGGAACATTAAATATTAATATAAGCAAGGAATACAGATCGTTACGTTACACCCACTGGCTAATAGATTTGGTTACTTAATGTAAGTATGCTCTTTAAATAATGAAACCATAAATAGCATGAATGTGAAAACGAATTAATTGAAATTCAGATCATAGTTCTTCAGTTCTTCCGTTCTTCGTAACAATACGCGGTAGAGATTTGAGAAACGTAATACAATATTATTCAAAATCCTTAACATGATATCACTAAAAGTGAAAGTGAATAATTTTATCTACATCATTAGTCTTTAGTTTTAGCGGCCCTAAGATGAGTGACAACAACGGAAAATCTCGTCTCGTATCATATGAACAAGTGAAATCTATCATAGACTTCATGGCACAGCATGTGGAGTTTGCATCAGGTAACCTTAGATCTCTTGAAGCCAGACACACATCCAAAAGGCTATGGGAAGAGCTGGCTAAAATACTGAACTCGTGCCGAGGAGGCACTAAGAAGACTACAGATGGATGGAGTAAGGTTAATAAAATAATATTAAAATTTAAAATTACTTGTAAAAATAAAATGGAATACCTCAAATACCTTCTTTCTTTTTTTCTTTATTTTTTTTGTTTCGTAATTATATTTTGACATAACAATTTGGACGAAAAATGTATTATTGTTTTTTTTTAATGAATAAATTGTATCAAATGAAGATTATTGTAATGTCTAAAACTTGCATGGACTTAGCTTATTTAATATTTCTACACCAGAAATGGTAGTATATGTGTTTCTATGTTTAATGTAAGATCTCAGTGTACCATGTACTTAGAAATAAATACATCTTTATCTTTATCTTTACCTACCAATAATTTTGATTCAACAGTTTTTAAAAAATTAATGTCTTTCAGTATTGGAGTGACTTCAAAAATAAGTTAAAGAATAAGATTTGGTTGCTGAAGAGGAAGAAAGCTGGAAATTCCCTCAAGGGTGTTAGGCCACTGACCAAAATGGAGAAGCGAGTTCTGGCCATATTGGGACCTTACTATGAGAAGAGAAAGTCCAGAGATGCTGACTCGCATTCTTCTTTTCAGAACAATATGCATCCAAAAGTCAAATTGGAAAGCTTTCAGGAGACAGTACATATGAATAGTTTTAGTAAAACAAATAATGCAGCCCGCAGGCTCTCAGGTAAACCTTCTTCTTTTCTTTTATAGATTTTACAAGGTTAACATTATTTTATTGTTATTCCATCATTGAAAGTGTTCATTACCATCATATTTCAGGCGGTGAAGATGATAGTGATTACAGTGCTGAATCCTTTGAAGGTGAATACACAAATGACAATGACTCAAATGCACCTGCGTTGCAGAGTAAGTTATTTTCGAAATTAAATTAATATCAAATCATGTGATAGAAAAAGACTGTATATATAATAAGATGTATATATTTCAAGCACTAATCTGCAGATAATTGAAGTTTTTTTTAAATAAACATACTGATTTCAAATGCACATCTTTTTCTAGATATCTATCCAAAGTGGTTGATAGAAGTAGAGAAAAAGCGTGCGGATGCAGAGTTAATACGAGCAAAGGCAGAAGAGCAGCGTGCTGTGGTTGCTGCAAAGACTGCTGAAGCTTCACTGCTGCAGGCTGAAGCACTGAGAAGACTGGCAGATGCTGCCACTACACAGGCAGAGGCTATCACGAGGATAGCTGGTGTACTGGAGTCTAGGGCACAGAGGAACAGTATGCTGGATTTGTAATCCAGGAATTAGTAGCTCTGAACATTATGGTGCTCAGAATACCAGAACATAAACTACTCAAACCAACTTAATTGTGTCATAATAAAGTCGTAAACCAATTATTATTGGATAATTTAGGGTAGCTTGATATGCTGGCATCTATAAAATAGATCAAAACAATGTTTTATTAATATTACATAAAAAGTAGACTATATCTGTCTAGAGAGGCTCATGAAAAAGGAATTGAATCTTGTGTATTGCACAATTATATTATATTATTATTAGTTACAACTGTAGATGTGGTAGGTTCTTAGTGTTATGATTTTAAGTGTAGATGTAGTTGAAATCCATCTGCTTCATCATAGGCTGTATCATCGCTTACTACCAGGTGAGATAGTGGCTAGACTTCACACATCAAACATAAAAAAAATAATTGTAGAATGTTTTGATGGATTTATGTCAAATGGATTAAGTATTAGAAAATAAATATTGGTTTTCTTTTATATTTATACTATAATTGGGTAGCATGATGGAAAAAGTGTTACATAATATGTTTTTTTTTTATTCCTAAATGTATGTGATAAGCTTATTGTGTATAAAAATAATGTAAATACCTATTATCTTAAGAAAAACCTTGTCTATAGTCAGTACAGATAGCGGCTGGTCAAATTATTACAAAATAAAAGATGAATTAAAACTTAAAATAAAACTTTATTATTTATTGGCCTACATTTAAGAAATGTATTTACAGTGTACCATAGATACCATATAATTACTAACTAACTTAAATTAAAATCATCTTCAGAATGTTACAGCATCTCAAAATCATCCCTCTGTAACAGAAACACAATAATTCTATTATTCTTCTGCAAGTATTATGATTAAAGAAATTTATTTTTTCATATACATGAAAAATCAAAAAGAGATTTATCATAAATTAGAATTTACGTGAATTGACTTTTTACTTTAAAGGTGTGACATGCATATACAAGGTAATGTAGGATAATATCATTAATAAAACCTTCAGGATAGCTACACAAAGATAGAATAAATAATGGACTCACTAAATCATTGTACTCCATGACATGTCTCCTAATGGCTGACCCATCGACCCAGGTAACAAAGTCCTCCAGAGCTCTGTTCACAAGGAAGGCTGGATCCTTCACAACTTCTGGCCCCACTCGAACATGTCCTTGCTCAATATATTTAGTTGCTTCCTTCATATTCTCTGACATTTTATCTGAAATTAGTCAGATGTTAGACAGGTGCAGTTGTATGTAGTACTGCTGTGTATTGTAGTAAAAACATCCAAATGCCCATGAGATGAGACTCCTTTGAGATTTTAACATAGTTTATACAAAACACTACTGTCTGTCTGCTTTATCTGTATCATATTGTAATTAAAGTTTTTTTGTGGTATTTATGTAAAAGTATACTTGTTGTACTTACTTCTAACCATGACTGAAGGTAGTCTTCGTCTGCAGAACGAGCTAGCTGAAACATTGGTAGCCAGGGCCAGGTCCCACCGCGTTGGAATCAATCCCATTTGATACAGCTTCTCCAGAAGCTGAGCACTCGACTCAGTACGAAATTCATTGCTAGCGTCCAGATCCTTTATCTTATTTGCCAATTCACGGATCTCTCGTGATAGTTTATTGTACCTATTACATAACAAAGGTGTTACAATCTTTATTCTCTTTAACAAACAATATTTCTATAACTTACAATATAAAAATTAAATATGACTTACTTGGTATAATCCTCCCTCTTTTGAATGTGATATTTTTTCATAACTTTCACCTCATTGAGATTATTGTCAACTTTCCATGATATAAAGTCAACTTTCTTTAATAGCTTTTGTTCATGAAACTTTAATTTTCGCACCATTTTTTATTTTTTATTATATTTCTAACGAACTATAAACACAAAATCTCAAAAGCGGCACGTGTATTTACCTGTCAAATGAAATGACAAATGACACTTCATGGTAAGCATAGAGTTATAATCGCACTGACTACACAGACATTAACGTAAACGTCTATCTTAATATTTAGATAAATACTAACTTAATCCTACATAAAACAATAATTTAATGATGAAAACTGACATCCTTATTACAATAGAATTATAATTTGGTCGTTGCAATAATAATTAAATGTTCATCCAAAATAAACGTATAATTTTAAAAGTTTCTGATCGTTGAAGTGTTTGTCACACAGCTGTCATTTCCTTCCATCATATTGTCTATGATCTCAATTGATCGGATTTCCATCTCCATCTGAACAACGAAATAAAGAAAACAATAAAGAAAATTTGAAATAAAAATTATTAAATATTAACATTACAAAGATTAAAGATGGGTGAGCACATGAAAACGAATCCTGGTGAATTTGCTGAATACATACAATCGATACTAAAATTAAACGCATTAGAAAAAATGACCGAAGATTTGGATAAAGAATTGGAAGATTCTCAAAAAATAATGATGGAAATAAAATCCATGTACGACTCTGTATCTACAGTGCCCGGAAATTACGAGCAACCTGCTAACAATGAGATGCGACATGAGAACATATCAAAGTTCTTGGAAACAGGCCCTCCAAAATTGTTGATGCCAGATATGGCTGAAGACAACATGGACGTTGATATTGATGAAGCTATTTCCTCTCTGAAGGGCTACGCTGAGCGTCTGAAACAGTCTCTAATTGCGTTGGAGCACCAACCTCCCAGGCCCTCAGGAATGATTGATCTTAACTTGGACCAATATGCACAGAGCTTAGACCAGCTTGGCAAACGTTTGGCCAACATGAAATTGAACAAAAATGATGATGTAAAATTGAAAAATGCAGAACTTGAGGCTAAACTGCAGCAGCTTTGTGGAGACGTCAACATGTTTACAAAGGTAAGTACCAAGGAGTTCGAAAAACAATAACATTATAACTACTTGTTTAGATGTAATCTGACATCGTTATTGCTGTTTCAGTTGGTTGACTCCAAGAAAACTCTCAGTGAGAGCAACCAGAACTGGACTGAAAGCCGGCAGGACGGGTATGAGTTGCAGTATGACAATATTATAAAAAAATTGATCTCTGATTTAAATGAAGTCCTATATCTGCTGCAGAACAAAGCTTAAATGGTTAATGTTGTTTTTTTTTTTAATTATGGATCTCTATTGTTTGTTGTCGAAGCACAGCTTTTTGTAGAGTGGGGTTCTAAACCCATGTTTTAGTTTCACTCAAATTATTTTGCTTCTAACCACCAAAATAAAATTGTTATTTTATAAATTTTATAAGAATAAGGAACAATATGAATTAATCTCAAGTAGAACCGTAATAGTCATGTAAAAAAAATCCATAGAAAAATCATAATATAGTACACATTATGATTTTTGAGAAATTTGTTGTAAAAATTATGATCCAGTGATGTTTTTATTAAATTGTGATTTTATAGATATAGATTATAGTTTACTTAGTAAGATGTATGTGTTGGCTGCATGGCCATGTATCTTAATATTATTAGTGTTAGTAATGAAATAAGTAATCTCTTATTTGCAAATAAAAAGTCAGTATTTTTGTTTGTATAATTTATTAAGTTAATTTTAAGAAGATTTAATTTGATAAGTACTCCAAATTTCAGGTCTTTTGGTCTCGTAAATATATAATAATGTGTCTGTAAAAGTACAGTGTTCCATTCAATTCATAATATATGTTGTAAATGAGTAAATTTTTAAAGTAGTTGAAGTATGGTCTAACATTCCAAAATAAATAGTCAAATCATAAGAATGTAAAATTGTTTCAGTAAAGTCAGTAATAAAGTAGAACCTAATTAAAAAAAAATAATAAAAAAAGCTTGTAATGATCATTGTCTTCCTAAGTTTAACAACATTTACAACAGCTGCATCAGATCTGTACTTATAATTTGTGTCTTGTCATCAGCTTGAGCTGGAGTCCTGTAATTTCATTCTCTTACGGTCAGTGTATTGGTCTATCCCATTCTCATCATCAGCATTGATCTTATCTTCTTTGGATGGTCTCTCATCTGCCTCTAATACTTTCAGCCTAATGTCGCCCAAAGTGGCCCCATGGAGAGTCTTGATGGCTTCCTGAGCAGCTCTTATTGATGCATATTTTGCAAAACCAAATGTTTTGTTAGGGAAAGTAGACACATCTATGAGATCACCAAAGCGGCAAAAGGCATCTTTCAGTATCGAAACAGGGGGAGGATGAGGCTTGAATACAAGGAAGCACCTCTGGGCTACTCTGCTGTTGATGTTGGCCAGTGGTTGCGGTGGAGGCAAGCTAACACTGCAGAATTCTGATTGAGAAGATTCCAATTTTAACTCCCTAGGTCCCGATGTAGCCTCTTTTATCAAAGTTGATGCTTGAGCAATAGCCTCAGCAAGCTGTACTAAGTCAGGATTTGCTGAGTCAATAGCATTTTTGAAGCTGTTTACAATACTGGATAGATTAGTGGCTGCCTTGCTCAAGGGATTGTCATTAGGTTTTACAGATATGATCTCTCCCGAAGGAAATTCAAAATTATTTAATCTATCCACAGCATGAGCAGCTGACTTTTCATCTTCATATGAAATAATGGCTTTACAATATCCATTGAAGGAATCGGAAGTGTATTTACATGAAGTCATTCCTGGTATAATGTTAAATAGTCTTTCAATAAACTTTTGTGGCACTTGTGGGCTACAAGTGACACTAACTGTGTCATAGTTGTGCGGCTTGGTCCTGATCAGTGAAGTCAAACTATCTCTTTTGACTATTTCTCCTCTAGTCTGGTTGTAGTGATCACTAAAATTATCTTTGATAATACTGGAGTTGCTAGAGTGGAAGTTGTCAGTGAAGTTTTCAATGCTATTCCTACTTCGTTTTAGTTCCTCTTTAGGTGTAGCAAATATAGCTTTGTATTTCCTATCACATTCTTCGAATGCTCTGGCTGCATCAAGAAATGTGTTGTAATTGACATAAGCAAAACCTCTACACTCATCAGTAAGTTTATCTCTCTGAAGGTGAACTGATTCTACATGACCAAATGCTGAGAAGTGCTGTCTCAACTCACTCTCAGTTATTTCTTTATGTACTTTAATAAAGAGACGCTTGTACTTGTCCTCATTAGTATTGTGATTGTCATTCTTATGAGTGGCAACCATTACTCGTATAGGTTTGTTACTATTCTGAATAGTTTTCAAATGCATCTCCTTAATTGCCATGGCTGCAGATGATGTTTTGGTGTACTTAATGTATGCGATGCCCTTAGACTCCCCAGTGTTACGATCTCTGGGCATATGTATGTCTTCTATTTGCCCGAATACCTCGAAGGCCGGCTTCAAGTCTTCTACCCGTAACTGCTTATTACATACTACGAATATTCTCGAGTAAGGTGGCTTATCGTCATTCCGGTCGTCATTTCGCATGGTACTTTGATTCCAATTATTCATGATCACAGTCTAACGGTAAAATAGATCAGTACCTACGAGTTTGTCAATCAAGTCGATGTTACAAGCAGTCTGAAATAAGTAGTCTCACGTTAGTCACATTTGGTCTGCATCTTCAGTTTATATTATCCAATCAATGTAAAATAAACAAATAATTGAATCACAAACACAAAAGAAAACTAAAAAAGTTCATTCACCTCATTGTTAGAGTATACATGTTATTTTACGGATACTGACGGATACAGAATTGAAAGATTATTGAAATAACAATACATGATACAGATTATATACGAAGAGAAATAATCTATATATTTTAAAAAAGTAAATTAAATTGTAAACTGCCTTTAAACAGTTTTCGGATTGCACAATTTATACAGAAATATAGTTAGGTTGAACGTTGAAAAAAATACGTTTGAAATAGCTTATACTAGGTTATTCTGATCTGGTTGAAGATAAGATATAATGCCATTGCCAGTTGCCATACTACAATTTGTTATTGCTTGCTACTGTCATGTCACAAGTTGCTCTCCTCTGTCCTGTCAATCGACAAACGTCAATTTTCCGTCAATATCTGGTTGTGTATTTTGTTTTCCTTCATGAAAATGAAATGAAACGCAGTATTAATAAAAATGAGCTGAATAATAAATTAGTTTTCTAATACGGAGCTGTGCAAATTTAGTTGCTTTCTATTTAAATTTGTAACTTGTTATAGCTCAATATAGTTTACTTTATGTAATAAAAAATGTTTCATAAAACTGATAGTTGCTTCTTACAATCGCGTCAAACATTTTTCAGAAATGATGATTATCACGACGAATTAAATAATTTGTTTAACAAGAAGTTCCAATTTCGCTTCCACAACGATTGGAAATTGCCTGAGAAAGAGTCGTGGTTCTCGACGCCTCCCTGGAAAGTGAAGCAGTTAGTGGACTTGAAAAATCAATTAAATTTTCACAAAAGTCAGTTGAATGATTTTAATATTGAGGAATGGAGCAGTCATACACGGCGCAGAAATCCTGCGGGGGAAGTTGGTTGGAAGATCAGGTGTCTTGTCAACCCAGAGTTCCTTACACAGGCATGGACCAAGTTTTACGAGTGTGCGTGCACATACAACATTATACCGGCAGAGGCGACGCTAGACAGGAAGATGGTGTCACTACACTTGTGTGAAGCACCAGGAGCATTCATCACATCTCTGAATCACTACCTGAAGTCAAACTACCAGAATATAGAAGTGAGTGCATGTAGGGGTGATGTACAGCTATCATATACAGTATGAGTTTGTATAAATAAACAATTACCACCTGCCATTATAGGAGCAGCACCTGTTTATACAACATTATCATATCTATGTACTGAACATTAGCTGTTAATAACCTTAATTAATAGCATTTTATGATCCATGACATCATGGTGTTTATTACTTTACATTTGAGTTCCATTATTTAAGTACTTTCACCTTAATTAATTACAAATGATTAATTGGTATCTGTACTTTCAGTGGAAGTGGGTAGCTAACACACTAAACCCATATTATGAAGGCAACTCCCCATCCAACATGATCAGTGATGACCGCTTCATGTTCCACACTCTGAACAACTGGGACTTTGGGACAGACAACACTGGGAACCTCATGGACTGGGAGAACTCACAGGCTATCATCAAGAAGGCGAAATCTTTAGGAAAGGTTGTTAGCCTGTACTATACAATTTGTTTGCTATAAGGTATTTTTACATTCATTGATTAATGAGAAGATAAAAACAAAAAATGAATGTTATTTATTTAGAAATGGCTAGCTACATCCTGCTGATTATTTTGTAACTCAGGTCCTGCTGGTGACAGCTGATGGGTCCATTGACTGCCTGCAAAAACCTGATGCCCAGGAGGAAGTGACATCACCTCTCCATTACTGTGAGATCATTACTGCATTGCAGTCACTTAGTCCAGGTACAGATGTCACACTATTTCAGAACATACTTAATTATAAATATTGGTGAATAAATTAACTGAAACCTTTTCTCTTTGCATTTTACAGGTGGCACATTAATATTCAAGCTGTTCACACTATTTGAACATTCAACAGTAAGTCTCCTGTATCTTGTCAACCACCTGTTCAGTGAAGTGAACATTTACAAGCCAGTAACATCAAGACAAGGCAACTCTGAGGTCTATGCCATTTGCCTTAAATATAAGGGCATGGCTAGCTTGGAGATGTTCCTTACTACACTGAAGTCTGCATATGGAACAGATGTCTATGGAAGTTTTGCTCTATTCCCTCTTGAAGCAATACCAGAGACATTTATCAAACAGGTTGTAGAGTGTGCTGGCTACTTCTGTTCTATACAGTGCCAAGTTATCAACAATAACCTCAAGGCCTACCTCATGCAGAAGAATATAGCGCTCCATAGAGACATCAAGAAAATCCGAGGAATAGTAGCTACAGAATTTATCTGGCAATATGATCTGAAGCCCTTAGATATGGAACAAGAGATCTTAAAAGGAATATTACATGAAGAAAACAAAATCAATATGAACCCTAGGTACCACCGTGGATCATACACAGAGAGGCAGCTCTATTGTAAGATGTCTCTCAGAGAAAAATTAAACAATTTAAATTCATTCCTCCAAGCTGAAGTACTGTCTAACCCTCTGATATTAATAAATGAGCAAATGAAATGGATGTGCTTTTATGATGAAAAGACAGAACTGAAACTCATCTTCACATATGGTTGTCCTTTACAGAAAATAAATAGCTCAAAGTTTATATTTGTACCTATATTTAAGTTATACCAACAGATTTTAGCTGAAGAAGAGTTTAAGGAAATAATATTTTGTAAAGATGGGAAAAATACGGATAATGATAGAGACTACGGACTGGAGATACACTTGAGACTGATGTTCCCTGAGTATGAGCATGCAGAGAGCTACCATGTATTTGAGAAGAGATGTTTTAAGATGCTGTTGCAAAGTTTAAACAAGTTAGCAGTTGGGCAAACACTCCTCATTCAGAACATCAGCATGCTGTCCCACTTCAATGTCAGTGTGATATACATCATCACGAAGAAGTGCTTTGAAAAGATTGGATTTACATCTCAGAACACAATTGTGTTGAAAAATCTTATGAACAAATCTGCATTAAATTACCTTGAGCAAGTGGACTCTGAGTGTGACACAGTGAGGGGTGACGGTACTAAGGATGTACTAAACTCCCTCATGGTGCAGACAACAAATGTTAGTGAATTTTACAACAGCATTGTTTTTTATAACAATACATTTTATCGGAATAAATGTTTGGAGTACCTCACTAAGATTGAAAAAATAATTTAAATCTTTTCTGCATTTTTAACTATGTGTACTTGAAGAGTATTTTTTAATATTTTTATTGTTATAAAATGTTCTTGTTCTGTAAATCCTATTTTACAAACATTTAAATAAATCTTAAATGTTGTATGAATGACGTATTTTTCGTATTTTATTTTCTATTGGAATCTTATCTGTTTTATAAATTCGGATATGTAGTAATAAGGTTAGTAATTACTAATTAAATCATCTTGGATCACGCTGTCCACGATCCAGACAGAGTACTGAGAGAGGTAGTGTCGACTCGGCCTTTAAATCTTTAGACTTGAGCATCATGTTCATGAACATAGATTCAACATCAACAGCCTATAAAGTGGCCACTGCTGACCAAAGGCCTCTTCTCACTCGGAAAAGGTTTGAGCATTAATCGCCATGCTTACACAATGCGGGTTGGCGATTTTAAACTTATAATTAGAAATTATAAGCCTAGGTTACCTCACGATTTTTTCCTTCACCTTTGTTAGTCAGTGGCGTCTAAATAATCTTAGAAAGTACATATAACTACTAACTAACTAACATTAGTACTTGCTGTTGGTAGGTTTCGAACCCGCATCCTTATGCATGAGAAGTAGGCGTCTTAAACCTCCGGGCCACCACGACATTAAGCAATTATAAATTTGAAAATGATTTTTTTCATAGCAAAGGTCGACCCCTCTAACTGTGTAGGTAATGCATAGAGCAACACGGGCCACCGGCGGACCGGATTATTACACTATTACGACAGGGATTGTTTAAATGTGTGTGTGAAATTGTCAGTGTATTTTTCAATTGTCATAGTGTGAGTTTCGTAGTGACATAGAATGTTTTTGTGTGAGAATTTGAGAATGTGTGATTTCCCCCCGCAAAAAATGACAGACAGTTTTGTATCGGTTTATAACGCAATGGCTACTCCCCTCCGTGTTGCTCTATGAGGTAATGTAACTTCGCAACCTGGGTACACATAAGTAGCGCATGCATATTATAGTTCAAAACAAATATTAAGTACAATAAAATAACGCACTACGCAGTCACACTCACCTCTCACTATAAGAAATAGTACGTTTAGTGAATCGACGGTACAGTGCATAGAACAAACGGCACTTTTCGAACGAAATTAGTTGTGGGCTGCGCGCGTCTACTGAGTGATCACGAAGGACCAACTGTCAAATCAAGTTGTCAGTTGAGCTTATTTCAAAATACACTAAAAAAACTAAGATTTTCTGGATAAATATTGCATAAAATCGTGTGTAGTTAAAGTGGATCGCTAGATAATATAGAGCTGGTGCTCAAAACTTACGTGGACTGAACACAAAACACAATGGATATAAACGAAGGTGAATATTTGCTTTTATAACCTATTTACTGGAAGTTTTAGCGGTACTACTGAAAATCATTGTTATTTCTTTCAGTGTTCGGTTATTGTCCTTTTGATATTAATAACAAATAAACTAATAATCTAACAGAAGAGATTATGTCCTTATATCATATGTAAAACGACGTTTTTTTCAAATATTCATAGTGATAGTTTGAAGGTTATAAAACAATTCACTTGGAATAAAAATAGTACACTAATAATGATGTCTACATATATTTTGTAAGGTAAAGCTTCATGTGAGGAGATAAGATAGTCAAGCATAGGCATTTACCTGCATTTTCTTATAGAAATATTTCTTCTAATAATACATTCACTATGTACTTATAGGTACCACAGCCGATGATCTATGGACCCCGTACAAAGAGCTGGTGTCTGTGGTGGAGGGCTACCTGGTACACGAAGGCAAGGGCGCCCCATACGCTGTCCACACATTTGAAACAGTACTGAGACGGCACAAGCAAACATTCCTATCACTGTTCAAAAATCCTGTAAGTAGTTCATCTCGATCTAAAAATTATCATGGGTTCATTTTAGGTAAAATTGGAATTTCCTTTATTTGTGCTGTCAATATTTTTCATAAATAAAAAAGAAAACTAAATTGACATCATTTTTTTATTGCACTTTGTACTATTTATACATACTTACACATCTCATAATATCACACTTTTTATCCTGAATATGTAGGCAGATAGATAAGTATACCTTATTACATCCTGTATTACATCAATAAAACCATGATTATAATAAATATAACCTGATTTCAGGCAAAGAATGCCAGTAGTCGGGAGGAGATAAGGCGTGGCATTACAGAGGGAGTCACCCTCCCCAGCATTGGAAGGACACTCCTCTCTAAAGAGCTGGTGGAAGAGGCAATCATCATATCAGGTTGGTTTCCATTAAAATTTTTACATAAAGTCTCATTCTGTTTACTTCAAATGGATATTGCTATCAAAATTAAAATTAAATATTCTACACACAATTTTATAATGTAAGTTTTTCATTTAAAGTGCACTTTTCCACAAAATTTGTATGTTTATAAAAATGTACAACTTATTGGAATGATACCAGACTCTTTGACATCCGATAAATTGCCCTAATTGCTATTATTGGTAATTTTTAATATACATAACTGAATTCTTCCTTCATCAATGCTCTTGCAGATATGTACAATGTTAGCGAGTACCTCTCACTGGAACTGTTACACACGGCGCAGCGCCAGTCGCCGCGACACCCGGGACTGCCGCGCGGGCTGGTGGCCGTGCTGCTCTACTACGACGGCAGGAGGGCACTCGTACAGGCTCTCAAGGAACTCGTCATGGCTAGAGATGGTGTTTGCTGGTAAGTTAAAATGTTGCCTCATAATATTTTCTGAATTTTTCTTCCATATCATGGTACAAACACTTGTATCGTTTCGTCAAAGAATTGAAACTGCGGCACATTGCGCAGTAGTGCCAATTATTTAGTTTGTACTCGAAGTTTCATAAAAGAAATCGCATAGTTAAAGTTGGCAATAGTAAATTGTATGCTGTTAAAGATAATGGAGGTTTCATGATTAAAACAATACTAGATTCGCGAATCGAAATTTTGATGAACATCTTTCAGGTCAATCAATGCTCGCGACGAGATTATCTCATACGTGTCCCGCTATGTGGAGCAGTTGATATCGGACGGGTTGCTAAGCAACGCTCTGGACTCTCTCCGTCGGTTCACGCTGGAAGTGGAGATGGAACTGCTGCAGAACAATCGCGCGCTACCGCCTGGCAGACACCATGCCACACTAGTCAATACTATTGAGACTACTAGGTATGTGGATAGTATCATGGATTCTTCCCATTTAGAGTACCTTCACCTATTTTCGCCAGTTATTCGCCTCTATAATATATTTATTTTATTACTTATTATTAAATTTATAAATTAAATTGAAAGAAAAAGAAATGTCAGAGCATATTACATTGTTGTATTTTATCACAGGAAACTGCTGGCCGGTGTTGTGTTTGCGGCCTCAGCTCAAAAAGGACTTAGCAGAGATATAATTTTAAGAATCATAGCAGAGGTATGTTTATGTTTATTGAATATTTATATTTATTGATTACTGATTACATAGCTACTATTTATTTTACATTTAAATATTTCTAATATTTTCGCATTCTTTAGCAAACAACATCGCCAACGCAAGGTCCAACTGGTGCACTTGACGAGATCTCTCTCGCCTTACAAATGGCTCTACTTTATGCACTGGATTTATCAGTATTACACCGGTAAGTACTTATAAAATATTTGTATTTAATCACATAATGCTGGAATTGGCTGGAACTTAAAACTATTTTGTTTAAAATAATCCTATTTCCCTAAGACGTGAAGACGGTGAAGAATTAGCCAAGAAGCTACCTCTCATCCAAGACCCAGAATTGATCTCCGTGCTACTAGATGAGCTGTCCGGTACACCAGCAGAGCAAGGCCGAGGAGCCGGAGTCAGGGCCCTCTGTCAACTCTCTCTAGGGTTAGCACTCGCGGCGTTAAAGAGGGCGCCACAATCGTTATTGAGGCGGACTAACTCGCCACATCTCAAGTGTGAGCTGCTGGATCAGGATGAAATGCTGGTCGATGCTGCTATTGATGGGAAGGTTAGTGTTGTCTTGATAGTTGAAACATAGTTTATTTATCGTTTATCAAATTTTAACGAATCCTCTAGGCATAGTGACACCAAATTCCAAATGGTACAAGTAAGAGGTTAGTTTAAGTGCTCTAATAGACTAACTCACAGTTAAGAGATGGTTTAGCGGTGGTTAGGTGTGAATCTGACCATTCTTGTGTAACTGTATTCTCCTCTGTAACAGGTGTTCGAGTACCTGGACGAGGCGATCTTGTCGACGGACCTGGTGGCGAAGGAGGAGTACTACCAGCGCCGCATACACACGCTCATCACGGACTTCATTGTACTCATGCACTCCAAGCTCATGGAGATGAGGGTCAAGTAAGTTGCTTTGTTCTATGGAAGGTAATGTTAAATTGTACATTATTTTTGTGTATCACACTAGATGATTGAAATCCAATGTAAACCAAAACTATTGGTACTTATTGCATTAGTAGATTTTAATACATCGATAAATTGTTAACTGAAATAGTTGTTACGATATTTTTGTTCAACCTTCCCAAGTGGTCATTAGTATGTGGGTGGTAGTGAGCGTGTGGCGTGTGCAGGGCGGACGAGGCGGCGCGCGCGGTGTCGATGTACGCGGCGGAGGGGCTGAGCGCGCCGGCGGCGGCGGGCGCGGGCCGCACGCGGCTGGACGCGCTGCTGCGCTGCGTGGAGCGGCTGTACGCGCGCGACCCGCTGCGGCTGCGCGCGCAGTACTGGGCGGCGTGCGGCGGCGGCGCGCGCGGCGCGGGGCGCGCGGCCACGCTGTACAAGTTCGTGCGCCTGTCGGGCGAGGTGCTGTGCGGCGCGCTGCTGGCGGGCTACCTGCGCGCGCTGGCCAGCCTGGCCGTGCCCAAGCACACCTGGGCCCTGCTCGCCAAGCGAGACGCGCTCTCCGCGTACCATCTCCTCACTGCGCTTGCTAGATACCACAGGTTACACATCTTTATATCAAAAATTGGTGTTGCTTTTTACATATTCACAAATCATTTTTTTACTCTATAATCTATAATATACATAAATTCCTCAGCAACCTGCGCGCAGACCCAGCTCCATTCTCAGAACACGTACATGCGTCGTCTCTGGGCGCTTCCGCGATCGTGACACCTGCAGCGCGACCTGGCAAGATGCTCGTGCGCCAAGAAGAGGTCAGATCTATAACATTAATTTCGCAAGATTGTGTCACTCGTAAAATTAAGTAATAATTACTAATTAAAACGTTTGGTATTCTAGGTAGAGGCATTGATAGCAGCTCTGAAGCTGATAGCAAGCGTTGCGCGCGAGGATCACGCCGCCTGCGCAGCGATCTGCGAGAACTTGCAGTGGGATGCTGTCAACGTCATGTTTGGTAAGTTCAATAGGACAATGACGTACCTCTTATCACTTCGCTCTCTCATTAAAATCTCTTAATCACTTCACTTGCTTCACTCACTCACTCAATGACTCACTTCCTCATGTTTCTTGCAGGTCTGATCTGCTGTCATATCCCGCTGCAGCTGAAGGCGGAGCTGTGCCTGACCCTGGCAGCGCTGGGCAGTACCTCGGCTACGGCTGGCAGGGTGTGGGCAGCGTTAGAGGCTGCACATCTCGTCTCTACCACTAATGATAAGAGGGCACTCAATGCTGAGCTACATGAGGTAAAGAGAACTAGTACAGTAGATAACTAGAACTAGAACGATACTTCATTTGTGTACTATGTTCACCTAGACGGAACAGAGAGTGTCCACAAAAGCTCTTCATCTCATATGTCATATTACAGTATCTCATATTACAGTAAAAAAAATGCATTTAGTTAACTTTTTGCTGTTAATTTTTGAATCTTTTATCACATTACTAAGAACCAAAATGGAATGATTAATTTGCTACGTCGCCGCAGGTGGAGTGTCGCATGGAAGAGTACCCGCTGTCCCGCGCGTTCCTGGTGCTGCTGGAGTCGCTGTGCGCGGCGGCCCCGCTGCCCCGCGCGCTGGGCGCCGGCGCGCGCGCGCCCGGCCTCGACCCCTACGTCGACCACGCGCTCAACCGACTGGCCCTGCCCGCGCCGCACAGACCCTACGCCAAGCCTACTGAGAAGTGGCAGGTAACATTTCAATTACAATTACTGTTATCTAAAATATATTAATTTATCTTTATTAGAAAAAGCAATCTATAATAATAGTCTATATGCGATACTCGGAGACATTTAAAGATAACTCAAACTATTACTTCGTAACGGTCCGAAAACAATTGCTAAGGACTGAGTTAAGTAGCCATTAAATGACTCTGAGTACGGCGGTATAGTAGTAGTTATCTAAATAATACATAATTTATGTAATACTATAAAATCTCCTTGCTAGGTAAAACTTAAAATTAACAATACAATATGCTATCTGCTACTATCTCATATAAAATTTATAGAAAAAATAGTGTTGTTGAGTATTTACCAGCTAGTCAAATCGAAGATATAAGTAAATTCTAATCAAACCAAATATTTTCTGAGATTACTAAGAAAATGCAAAATACTAGCTATCCAATAAACAGCTCTATATCAAACACTAACCTCAGTACTCAATCCACAGATGCTCTCCCTCTGCTTCCGCCTATTCGCCCGTTGGTTGGAGTCGTACGAGCCGTCCCCCTCGGACTTCCCCCCCATGGGGCGGGAGGCGGACACCAACCCCCCTCCCGGGTTCCGTCTGTTGCTGCAACTACATACTAAGTCCGAGCTACTGCGTTTACTGCTGACGTCACTGGAAGAGGCACACGACTTGTTGGATAAACACCCTCATCCTGCTAGAGTGAGTAGATAATAGATATGAGGGTAGGGATTGGCTAAAGTTCTTTGTTACGGGAGGGATCGGATTCTCTGTAATTTTTACGTGTTTTTAATAGAGATCTCTTTACTTCATTGTTCTAAAGTTATTAATTGTTAGTTATTAACAGTTATCATTTGTCAACTTTAAGTTAATAATCAGATCATCAAAGCAGGGTTATAAAATCAAATTTTATAGCACAAAAACAAGATTATAATTCTGTGTGTTATAATGATATTGGAGGTATGGTAGCCACAAGTAATTTAGTAGTTGACCTAACAAGCTGCGTGTTCCAGGAGTTCGCGGAGCAGGCCCTGGTGAGCTGCCTGGAACTACTGGAGCGCGCGCTGGCACTCGAGCGACCTCTACTCACTGCTGCAGCGGATGCAGGACGAGCTGTGCTACTCGTACCGCTCTCTAAGCTTATACTCGGTCAGTATATTTACATTAGCTGGATTAAACCACCTGATCGTGCGCAACAATAAAGTTAAAGCATTAATTACATACAAGATACATACAAGAACATTAAAAATAGAAATAGTCGATCAGTAAAGCCATGTGTTCATTACAAAATGTAAATTTATATGGCAATTAATGACATTGACTTGATCCTTTATAATGTGTAGTTTTCTTGTATTTAGTTATTTAAAGACTATTTAGATTTTCCTCCTATTTTTTAACAGTTTATTTTACTTGAACTATGTAAATGAGCTCGGTGGGTTACAATATGGTGTTCTTCAAGAAAGGAGTAAATAGGTTTATTAAGGCGCATGTAATGCCTCACGTGTTGCAAGCGGTCATAGACCACGGTAACCACTTCAGGTGGGCCGTGTGATTCTTTTGTTGTGACGTTGTATAAAATGATGATGTCTGTGCCGCAGCCCCGGAGGGCATGGACAGCGCGTGCCCGCTGGTGACGTGCAGCCGCGTGGTGGGGGCGGTGGCGGCGCGGGCGGCGGCGGGCGCGCGCGCCGTGGCGCTGCTCGTGCGCGCCACCGCCGCGCCCGCCGCCGCGCGACATCTGCTCGCCGCCATCACGCAACGGGACGCGCTCGCTGCCGAGATCAGGTACGGAAATATAATCTTATATATGATACGATCTTATATCTACGTCGCACTACAATTATATGAGAGCATTTGTTTATTTTATGTCAAAGAAATTCGCACAATAATTAAAAAATCTGCAACTTTGTTTAGAAATAATACATGCAAACAAATGACAAAACAATGTCATAGAATCATGAACAATATGAAGCCATTTATTAGTGAACATTAACCGGTCTTTAGTGGAGTGGAAACATTCGCTGTGAAATAATATAGAGATATCGGTTTTAATAATTTGGGCAGATACGGGTTCGTGGAGTGTCTGGAAGCAGAAGAATGGACTGAACCTAGCGTGCAGGCGGAGGGTGGAGCCGAGGGCGCGGAGGGGGAGGGCGTGGGGGGCGCGGGGAGCGCGGAGCCAGTGAACTACGTGCGACAGGCCAAGGAGGGCGTGCTCGTACTACTGCAACATATCCTGCCCACTGCACCACCTAACCTTGCGCACTTCCTGCTCGGATACAATCTCTCTGATGACGTAAGAACATATTTATGATTTTGTACTGTCATAAGACACGAGTCACTAGACGGTTCCGGAAATATAGCGTTGGTTGTCACTGCTTCCAACATAATTATTTTATCCCATTCACATTATGGCAAACAGATCACCTGATTGTACGCTATCGGCGTCGCCCGTAGGGTTTCGCAAATGCGTTCCTGGACTTTTGGGAATGTAGTGATTGAAGATTGGGATGTGACGGAGGATTAGGCCTCCAGTAACGTCATAATGTTAACTTTGTTTGAACATACAGGTGAGTCGCAGTTCCCTGAACGAGGCGGGCGCGGCGGGGTACCCGCGCACGTGTCTACACTCCATACTCGACATACTGGAACAACACATCGCATCGCATAACAGGTATCTTTTACAAATATACAGTGACATTTGTAGTGATTTCTGATAATCTGTGACTGATTTGTCAATGAATATTGCACGTAAAAATCGTCACATGTTCTTTGAATACTGCGGTTCGAATTAGCTTGCACGCTCCTATCCCAAGTAACTTCGGGTCGCAATAATGACATAGATATTACTAATTGTTCATTAAACGACCAGTCATCAATGAAAACTTGCGAAGAGATACTGTTTTAGCTCAACCAAAAAAAAAACCACCGTTTCATTCAGACTACATAGCATAACCAACCTTAGGCTACAGTGTTTAAAGCTTAAACTTGTGCTACCAGGGAAGCGAACAACCTAGTGGAGAGTTGTTACCGGCTGATATACTGGCTGTGCGCTCGTCCAAGCACGTCGGCTCCTTTACTGAGGTTCCTGAGGACCAGGGACTACTTCCTATCCAGACATGTCAAGGCTACTATTGATCTCAAGGTAAAACTGTGATTATATTACTGGTTAACTAAATGAAAATAAGGATATCTTCTCAAACATTTACTTACAGTACTTTTAAAAATATGAAAATTATTTTTTGTTCTACTTAATTTTAACGCTGGAAGATTTTACCATATTTTTAGCTACATTTATAATTGTATTGTCTAATATTTTTCACATTTCTTGATTAGTTGCAAGAATAATTGAAACAGAGTCCCTTATGGGAGATTTTTGTAATTCATATTGAGTACAATTTGTATCGAATACGCCTGGGACGGCAACATCGCGCTGTGAGTGCGTCGTACAAATCGTAATTTGTGTAACACGATCGAATATGTGGAAATCTTACATTAGGCACTTTACACCAGGGTACACCTTTAAAATAATGAAAAGTGAAAAGAAATTATAATAGGATGAAACCCATTAGAAAAGGAGAGAAATATGATAAAAATGAAAAGATAATAATTTACGGGCGATCTGAGGTCGGGAAGGGGGCGACATACTATACCATAGTAACATTATTTTTTTTCACCATCGGAAAGTAGAGATTCCAACGAACAGAAACAAGGTATTTTGACGGGTGAATTAATTAATAAGGTGAAAAAAAATAAACATTTTTAATCAAATAAATTACAGCGTATTTGGGACATAAAAAGGTAAGTTTTCACAAAATTTCGTTGAAAATATTTTTTTTTTTGTAAAAGATAACAATAAAATACCAAAAACTTGGTTTCTTGAATTTTTTCACATAAATTTTGAGGTTATGTGAAAAAAGTGCAAATACAAAAGTTTTAGATCTTTTTATTATCTACAACTTTGCCATTTGACTTTTTTCGATAGGTCTTTTATTTTTTTTGGAAATCGAGAAAAATCGTTTTTTACCCTTAAAAACTCACCCCCATCTCCGTCCCGACCTCAGATCGCCCGTAAATTATTTTTCATTTCAATTTTATCAATCATATCATCCCTCCTTTTCTAATGGGTTTCATCTTAAAATGATTTTTTTGGTTTTAAAAATTATCGACCCTGGTCTACTTTGTTGAAGCTTCTTGATAATCTCGAGATCTTTAAATTAGGAATTAATCTTTCAATAGTTATTGTACAACAACGCTGTGAGTATAAGAGATGTTAGTGGAGATGGAACATGTGAAAGCATGCGTGTGTTCCAGAGCGCGTCCGTGGTGTCGCTGTCGGCGCGGTCCTGGGTGCTGCGCGCATGCGCAGTGGAGGCGGGCGCGGCCGGGCGCCAGCACGCCGCGCTGGCCGCGCTGCTCACGGCGCTCACGCACACGGCGCACCACCCCACGCAGGTACTACACTCGGCCGACCGCCAGCTTTCACTATTAATGTTATGAGTTCCATGTAATAGGGGGTGAACCTATTGCCATATACCGGGCACAATTCCAGACTCCGTGCTACTACTGAGAACTTAAAAAAACTCAGTGATAGTTTGCCCGACCCAAGAATCGAACCCGAGACCCCTTGCCAGACAATCGCACTTGCGACCACTCAGCCAACGAGGCAGTCAATATTTACTTTACATTATTATAAAACAGTCCCTTGCTGTGTCTTGCGAAACTCAGTAGAGAGACACAAAACTGCAATTCTCAAGACGCCGTTGTGTCAAATACGTCATGTGCATCGGGACACACGTCACACGTCACAGCAAATACGTTGTCTTGTGCGTAGCAAATCCTATTGGGTGTGTGCAACGAATTCGTTGCGCGCCCGCTCCGCTATAAAAAGGCTCGCAATCCACTTGTATGATAAAGCCCTTAGTTGAATTGAAACAGGGTGGTTTTAAGAAGTAAGGGTCTGACACTCCCTCTTCACCCAGGGCGGGAGGAGTCATTTAAACTTTCCCCGCAGCTATTTTCGGTTAAAGATCATGCTTGTATTTGTTAGGAATGGGAATGGTGCCTACTTCGACGGACATTGGAAGAGTTGCCGGTGAGCGTGGAGCCAGTAGCTGAGCCTCGCTGGGAGCTGTTCCAGGCACACCAGCTACGGCAGGCTATAGCGTCATGTGATCTGCCTACTGGTAATTTTTGTCACCTCTATTTCTTAAACATTAAGGTCTATTTGAGTTTTTGTCATTTATGTATAAGGGTGTCCTTCTTCTTTGTTTATTTAGAAAACTAATGAGATGTATTGTGTGTGGAACAGGTTTAGGAGGTAAACGTATCAGCGTGTCGCGAGTACATGCACTACTGACTCGAGAGTTAGCTGCACTACATGCCACAGCGCCTCAGAGGAATCTCGTCGCCACTGAAATACAAAAGGTAAAATAACCACTTGATATCATTTGCATAAAACCTATATCAGCATATCTAGAGCTGTACTAATATTGATCTGCTGCTCTTAGGTGCTGGATTACGTAACAGAAGTGAACAGACAGCGCAACCTAGCGGCGACACTGACGCACTACTACGACTCATGGCGTCAACTCACTGAGATTCTATTCTGCGTGGCTCCACACGACATACTCCCTCTAGAGTCTCGCAAAAATTTACTCCTGAACATCCTGCAGGACTTGCTCAACAAGATCCCACCAGCGGAAGTACTCCCGCAACTTGGGAACCTGGCCTCCGGGACCGTCCTCCTCCTTCTAGTCAACCTCCGACACTGTTACCTCCTACAGAAAAGAGAGTCAAACCAAAAATCCTCAGAATTCGAAATGAGCTTCTTCGGCCCATCCAACCAGATCATGCAGACCAACTCTCTAACTCTGAAATTCATCCTACACAAGATTCTATCCTGGATCTTAGTGTCTGGAGGGTCTACGCAGAAGATGAGGGTCAATCTATACGGAGCGTTGTTGAACTTTTTGAATATTGTCAACTTGAAGACGAGTCCTGCTGACCCTGAAGAAGAGAATATGCCGACTACGTACGTCAGTAGACTAGACAGTTCTAAAGCTCGGCCTAGTAGAGAAGAATCTGCATTAAAGTCGATGGTGATAGATGTGATCAGTGACTTTGGTGAAAACCTGTGTTCGATAGTGTGTGGGGACTGTATTGGGGCGGGGCATGATGTCTGCCGCATGGTGGCGCTGGCGTGCCTCGACACTCTCATCGAGATCAACCCAAGGACTGACTGGGTCAATACACTCACTAACCAGGGGTACCTGCGGAGCTTGATCGATAGTTTGTTGCAAGACGATGAGGGGTTAAAGGAGGTGAGTGAATTACGTGAAATTAGAAAAAACTGTTTTTATTTTGATAGTTGAAAACTGAAAACAGAATATTTGAACTAATTTCAAAGTTGTTGTTTTTTTCATCTAAAATAATTTGGCTTGGCGTATTTAAGCACTTATGCTTGAGTTTTTTCTATATCGTCCACGTAAACAAGCACATTTTATTCTGATTTTCTTCTAACCAGACTCTAGAACCAAATCCGAAGTCACTCCGCGTGCTGTACGTATATGAATCCAAGATGGGTCTACTCCTGAAGCTGGCGGGGACCCGCGCGGGCGCTGAGACACTACTGGCGCAGGGGGCGCTCGCGTGTCTGGCCGGACTCAGCGCACTCGCCGCGCACCCTGATATACATACTGGATACGCATCGCACAAGGATACCGAGTTCGTTCCTAGTGTAGCTAACAGGTAAATTATCAAGAAAACAAAAATTAAATTGACATGCTTTGTACCAGTCAAAAATGTTGTATGTTTTTCGTCGAAATCTTACGTCATACAGTCGTTACTTGATGAATTGAAAAGTAGAAAGAACGTATTTTTGTCTGAGGAAACATCGCAACGTCGCAATTAATTTTTTTTTTAATGTTTACTCACATTAACATTTTTCCGCTGTGTCGTGGGTGCGTTTATAAATATACAAGTTCCCATACACAATGACACTCAGACCCGAAACAACAATTTGTAGATCAGACAAAGTGTTGTTCCGTGCGGGAATCGGACCCGCGACACGTTGCACGGCAGCCGGTTGCCAGCCACCGCACCAACCGTGTAGTCGCAATGATGTTTTTATTATTGTTACACCGAGCATTAGTGTACGTCCCATGCGTGTGCAGGTTCCGCCAGGTGTTGGTGCCGGCGCTGTGTGTGTGCGACGCGGTGCTGACGTCGCTGGGCGCGCACAACCACAGCTGCGTGCTGCACGTCACGCACGCACTGCTCAGCCACGTCGAGTGTATCGACGCCGTGCTCAGGTATCTTCTACATTACTATATCTTTCTGCCCTTGATTTTAATGTTTCTAGACCTATGAAGGACACATATTTCATAATCAACTATGAGTAATATTATTACTCAATGCTTATAATCTTTCAATTGGTTTTGGACTCTATTGTAAAGCAATTTACGTTGAAAATCAATTGAACTGATACATTAGCGTGCACATAGGGTGCTATTTTTAGACAGTATGTTTTATTTTACTAACGACGAAACCTTTTTATAGGGCGGCACATCCGAACTCTCCAGTAGAACTACTAATAGAAGTGGAAGCGATAACATCAGTGATAGGTCGGGCATCGAACCGCGAAGTATTTGGTGGAGCGGTGGCGGTAGAGCCCACCGCATTACAGGCGAGCGCGGCCGCGGCGCAGCGCGTGCGGTGGCTCATGCTGGCCCTGCTCGGCAGGTTCCACCGCCCCGCCACCGACCTGTCAGACCAGAACAACTCCAGCCTACTCTACTATAAGGTCTGTTTCTCAATGTCACTGATCATTTCATCATCGCTTCAGTGACACTGCATCATCATTGGAATTTACATTTTCTTCAAAATTTAACCAAAAATGAAACTGATAAAATGTTTAATAATTTAATAATTTATTTTGTGAAATTTATATGTGCATGAACCCTGCATGCATAACCTGGAGTGAATGCTTTTGTGCCCTATATGTTTTATTTAGCGTTGAATGATTTCTGTTATTATTAGCATAACATAAATTGGTTTGATGACCATCTCGTATAACAAAGTATATTGTCTGAACAGATCGTATGCAACCTGCTAACATACGCTCGCAACATAATGTGTGACTCGACGGGTCGCTGCGTAAGCCTGGCGGCCGGGGAGGGAGCCCCGGGGGCGGAGGCCGGGGCCGCGGGCCGGTTACTGGCGCTAGTACAACATCTTGTACGAGCACACACACACCACGACAAACTACTCGCCACTACCAGGCATCAGTTGCACAACCTGCCCACTATGAGCCTCGACGGTAACTATACCTTGTATTCTTATGCTATTTTTCATATTAGTCGTTAAGCGGTAAATGGTTTGGGGTGTTGGGTAAGAGTAGGGGTGAAAGGTACGGGATAATAAAGATTAAGGTAAAGTGTAAGGGATAAGGGGTACCGAGAAAAGGGTAAGGGATAAAGGGTGATGGCTATAAGCGAGTTACCCTTTAGTGAAGCTATATCAAAAACGTTTATTCCCCAACAGACATGCGCAAGCTGGTCCCCGCGGAGTCGTCGTCGCTGTCCCCGGTGGAGGTCCGCACGCGCGCGGTGTGTGCGCTGGGCGCGCGCGTGCGCCGGCGCCGCGCCGAGCTGGCCGCCGCCGCGCACGCGCTCGACTGCGCGCTGCATCTACTGTGGGCACACACTCGGGTGCTGCTGAGGGCGGGGCTACCCACTGATGATAATGATAACTGTACGTATATTACTTCAAGAATTATAACTATAAGAAATGTTAATTTAATGAACTTTGATGATGAAACAAATACGGGGAATTCATTTTTTAAACTTCGACGACAGCACTTTGTTTGAATGATTCGAGTTCAACTTTGATACGCTTTCAACTTTCTTTTATGTATCAACATTTAATTGTATCATAACATTGGTTATATATAGTAGTCATTAAGGATATTTAATAACAGTACCCTTCCTGCAGTCGGGTAGAAGTACCTCGATGTGACCATGGTTCATATTACAGCGCTACTGAACACGTCGGGCGCGTGGCGCGGCAGTGGGGACGACCTGCCGGAACTGCGCAAGGAACTCATCGCAGTGTTCAACGACAGGTTCACTGAACAACTGCTCGATACTGCCAAGGTGAGCACGTACTCAACACTAATGAATAGACAAACCCAATGAGTTGACGATTGATGGTGATGATAAGATGGATGATGATGATGATCAAACTGGTGATGTTATTGATAATGCAAGTGTTGGAGAGCCATGCTTCGGCACGAATGGGCTGGCTCCACCTGAGTAATCTCATGTCATCGTACTCCACGGCCTAACAGAAAACCGACGTGAAATAACGCTTGCGTTTTGAATCGCCGTATGAGTGAGGTTACCGAAGGGCCAATTACCATACTACACCGTCTGCTCATTTACCGGTTTATCCCTTAACTCGTCGAGTACCGTATTTATAACACAATTAAATAATAATATTTCTCAATATTTCTTGCTCGTTCTTCTCCATTCGAAACTACACTTTGGAACGACCGCCTAGTTTCACTGACAGACGGACGGACGGACAATTAAATTTTTGACGTTTCAAAGTTGCCTAATTAAAGATTAATTGAAACAGATGCTTTGACTTTGACTTTTAATGAGATGAAGATGTGATGTGATGATGATGATGTTAAAGAATGGTGGTGATGCAAAGGATATTTTAGTTTTTATTAAAAATAACTGTAATTAGTTGACTGCCTCGTTGGCCGAGAGGTCGCAATTGCGACTGCCGGGCAAGGGGGTCTCGGGTTCGATTCCTGGGTCGGGCAAAGTATTACTGGGTTTTTTAAAAGTTCTCAGTAGTAGCACGGAGTCTGGAATTGTGCCCGGTATATGGCAATAGGCTCGCCCCCTATTACATGACATAACATAAATAAAGAAAAGTGGGTGTTACATTGTGCAGTGCCATAATGTACACCTCTGCCTACCCCTTCGGGGATAAAAGGCGTGATGTTATGTATGTTATGTATGTAAAAATAAATAAAATGGCGCTGACAATGACAAGACACTAGTGATGCCGATGATATTAATGCTACCTTCTTATTCCCAGAACCAGCCTCAAGTACAGCGCAGTTTCCTGGAGATCCTGGTGAAGGACATCAAGACGATGGTGCAGTTCTCCCCGCTCTGATCTAATCATGTTACTACTAATTATGTTATGTTAACTAAACTATGATGTCTCGTACGATAATACATTTAATTTTGTAATTAAATATTGTTTTTAATTTTTCTTCATGTAAGATGTACCCTTACTTTCCTTTAGTTATGTCCGGGAGCGAGCTTATTGATATTACGGTGTTCTTGGAATTCCAAAATCATATAATTAAATAAAAATAAATAATTCTTCTATAAACTACATTTAAAAGAACCGACTTCAACCCCCTCTTTTTGGAAGTTCTGTAATTAATATACTAAAACCTACTCCGAAGTGTAGCAAACACTTTTCTGAAAATTGCATCAAAATCGGTTCAGCCGATTGCGATATAATCACACACAGACATACATACAGGTCAAACTAAGATCCTCCTTTTTTGAAGTTTGTTAAAAACAAGTTTTATTATTTATTATACACCATTTATATATATACTAGCGGACCCAACAGACGTAGTCCTGCATATACACTTGAATGTATAAACAAAAATTCATTGAAATTAGTTCAGCTGTTTAGGATAAATAACCTAAACATCGACTTCAGCGCCATCTGCCGGGCTGATTTGTGAATCTAAACCATTCCCAGATCCCCTTGAACACGCACAAAAAATTTCATCAAAATCGGTCCAGTCGTTTGAGAGAAGTTCAGTGACATATACACTCACAGAAGAATTATATATATAAAGATATATTCGATAAATAATACACACAGCATAAACCATAAAATAATATAAAAGACATCGCCACCACCATGAAGACAAAGTCACTTCCTATCATCGCACCGATCGTTATCGACACATTGAGTTCACGCTTACACATTGGATGGTACAGATGGTACAGCCCAAATGGTACAGTTCGGTTTCAGAAGAATTTCCTCCCACGGACGCTCCGACTGTGGAATGAAGTCCCTGCCAAGATTTTCCCGGTGGGCTACAATATGGAGTTCTTCAAGAAAAGAGTAAATAGGCTTAGGGTCGGCAAGGCGCATGTAATGCTCCATGTGTTGCAGGCGTTCATAGGCCACGTAACCACTGTAAGGTCTATTTAGATCCTTACACTGTAGTTTTGTAGTTGTAGAAGGTATAGTAGCTCACAGAAAAGATCACAAGTTATAGTTGCTAGTGACGTATAATAAGCTGGTAAAAGTTACAAATAAGGTTGTCGTATTTCTTTGCTTGACGTTGGTTGGCAGATAAAGCACTACCACTACGATTACTATAATACGCTAAATTATATATGCTATGCATTGGGTAACGCGCATTCAATATTGCTGCGTCGACTATACGGGCTATGTGCGGTTATGAAACCGTACAACCACTTACCATCAGGTGGCCCGTGTGCTATTTTTTGCCACCATAAAAAATAAAAAAAGATAACACTAAAATATCAATGTCCCAAACTACAAATTGTATGCAGCTACTGCAAATCTTATGGTCGTGTACCTACACTTAACGTGTATACAAACATACATTTATTTCAAATATACATAAATTGCAGGTTAAACAAAAGCTGTGTTTTTATAATAACTATCGTGAGACATACTAAACCAAATTAAGTAAAATCGGTTACTCACGTGAATATACTGAGAAAAGTTCTACTAGTTTTGAACCAGAGTATACTCACGTTAACCCGCGATTTTACTTAATAAACAAAAGCTTGTAAGAATTTGTTCACCGTTATACATATTTATATTTAAACAGTATAAGTATTAGGGGTGTTCAAAAAGTAATAAGAATGACGTAGTACCTAATAGGGATAGGATAGGGTGCAGGCACTTATAAAAAATTGTCACGGAAAGTTTAGGTGTTTGTCATACCTTTGAGTAATTAGTTATTTAGCTTTCAATCTTGTTTAAAAACTGTCAAACACCAAGCGGTCACCGGTGACCGCAACCTATTGTTCTTTAATTGTGTCTATAATGACGGTAGGTACTCAAAGGGTTGATAATGCTTGCAAAAATTTATACATCGGAACTAATTTTTAAAATGTGAAACATTGGGATAGTTTGGTACTCCACATTTCATAGTGGGTTGTAGGTGTGCTTAGTTTAAACGTGGTAAAACGTCGGTTAAAGGTGAGCGCATGGATGTCAAGCGCTCAGGACGCGGACAAAAATAAAAAAAACTGATATGATAATATCAAACAGGAAACTGCATGTTTACTTTTTATATACAACTCTACAGCGATGAAAACTCAAATTGTAGTTAAAGGTATATACCTCTACATAGTAAATTAATAAATTGCTGCGGCAGGTACATTTTGCATGCAAGTTGCGTCTGCGAGAACCATCATGAGCACTTGGACTTGATTCGACCTATAGACGTGTGGACGGCTGGAGGAGATCCATTTGCCGACATGTAGAGAAGGTATCGACATTAAGGAAGTTTTAATTTTGCATTAAGTTGCGGCGTAATACTACAGCCGTACACTGTACCGTGCGCGTAGGCCGTAGTGCCTAGTTCGTAGCGCGTAGACCGTAGCGTGTACGTAGACCGTAGTGCGTAGTTCGTAGCGCGTAGACCGTAGCATGTACGTAGACCGTAGTGCGTAGTTCGTAGCGCGTAGACCGTAGCATGTACGTAGACCGTAGTGCGTAGACGTAGCTAGCCGCAGGCCGCAGGGGCTGGGAGTCGGGACTTATCAGCTCATGTAATATAGTTTAAAAACCGTAACCTTTCACTGTATAACGTATATTAACTTTTTTTAAGCACCTATACTTAAACGGCAAATAACTAAAAAAAGTCATTCATAATGCTTAATGAAAAACGTCGTAATTTTTACGTAAGTTACATGCCGCCTATCGAACACAAACATTAAACAGCATTAATGTGTCCACCCGGAAATTCGCATGTGATTTCAAAGACGTACGAAGATTTTTCGAAAAGCAAACAAAACAATATCATACCAGCCCCGGGAATCGAAGCCAAATCCTGGCCCGACAAGCTGACAGTCACACACGCCAGAACTCAGCTAACGAAGAATTATTCCGTAAAGTTTACTAAATCACATAAAAATAAAAACGTACGGTCGATGATACAGGTACATACGTGTATGTACATAGTTTGAAACAGTATCTAATGATCTATTTTCAATCTTGTACACATAATAAGTCGCAAGCGTAACAGTACACTTCACGAGTTATACCGAGAGCAACCGCAGAATTACTTCGACTACTTAAATAAAATGATAAAACTGCGTCCCATTCCCACCGAGCTACCGAGCCGCCCGCGCCTTCCACTCGACAAACAACTATCAATTTAATTGGAGAACCGCGGGCAGCCTCTTTACCCCGCTTAACTTTTCGATTTACATTCAAAACGGTCTTTTAAAAAACCCAACTCAATAACTACAAGTCTAAACCCTTGTTCGATGTGTACTTTAGAAATCATTCGGCTATAAAACTTTGTGGCTGAGCCGCCATTGGCGCCGAGCGGCGGGGAGGAGCGAGCAGGCCACGCCCGGCGCCCGCCGCGCATGCTAAACGCGCTTTAAACCCCGTTTAAGCGGTATTTTGGTCCAAAACCACAAGAAAATGTATGTAACATCGGTTAGGGGCAGGGCGTAGCTAAATGAAAAGATTTTCGCGATTCAACGACTATTTTGCGAATATGGCGGACAGTTATCTCGAATGCGCGGGAAAGTGCAGGCTGGTTACTCGGCGACTCTCGATAACTACAATAACAAGTTAAATAATTTAATATCTTTAGCTTATTTAATAAAATACAATATTCAATGGACAAGTGTTTCAAAGTTATTAAACTTGTTTGTAAAGTGCTGTGATGTGAATTTATCGCGGGAATAGATAATAAATCTAGTCATTATAAGTGCGGTGATGGATTCCAGGATGCAGGACAGTCACAAGTCGTTCCTTATCAAAGATTTGCTCGGTGACGTGCTGAGGCCGGGAGCGGCCGGTGCAATAGGTATGTATCTCTGTACATAATATAATACAGTAAACAATACATTAAACGATTAATTTTACAAATAAAAAAATATGTTATTTCCGATTCGTAAGCTTATGTTAAAGTAAATTGTAGTTAGGTTAAAGAAATTGTCTGATATGAACTATTCATTATTAAAATTTTATAATTATAATTCCTTTGCTTTTAGCAACTATTTTTGCTTTAGATGTATACATCACATCACATGTAAGTAAGTGTTTATGTTTAATGCAATAATCGTATTAGTATTCACGATATATTTCTTTGTGTGATCAAATCGTTATTCCTAGTCTGAGGTGACGTGTATGCCAAAAATGTTTGTAATTTTGTAATTCCCCCTCAGCACAAAAGAAAAAATCTTAGTGTAGAGATATTTAAACAAAAATAGAGAATTGTAACTAAATTACGTATCAGCGTAGCAGTTTCGTAGCACGCTCGTAGCGGCGGTTACGAAGCATGTAGCGAAAAGTGTATCTTCATTCTTCATAATTTAATTTCATTTGTTTTTAGGTTGAATATGGTGTATAATAAACTATATATAATTATTCTCTTCATATACGGGTACAATTTTTTTTAAGGGGGTATACGGGTACAATACAGTGCATTAGATTCGAACTTTAATATCAAATATTGATTGCATTTAACATAGTTTAGTACATTCATAAATATAGTATTGTACTACAAATAAGTAGGCCTGCTTTTAATATTGTCATTATTTTATTATTTATTTTTTTTTATTTTATTTATTTTAAGAAGGCTTACAGACTAATACATTGAAAATGATTTTATAAGAGTATAGTATTGACAAATTGCTAATTACAAGCCTCCACATATAGATAAAAAGAAAATACCGAAAGGCATAAAAAAGAGTACAGAAGACAATTAATTACTAACAAATATCAATTGCTAGAAGAATAATTAGACAAAGAAGTTAACCATCGAAGAAGTTTTGTGAGATTTGATGTCGCAAGGATGCTACATTGGTGCAGAATAAGTCGATGTCAAATTCCTTAGACAGTCTATTAAATTCAAGTGCACT